AATTTTATAGATTATTAGAAACAAAAAATTCAGTAAGAATTTTGTTGAATACTTTTCTGCATCTATCAATGAATGATTATAATTTTATGTTAGACAATTGCTGCATTCCCACATTCAAAGATTTTCATACTTTAATTAAAGAGTAAATTATATTTAACATATTTTATTTAGCATTATAATTTGTGTCAAGGTTCTCTTAACTTTATAAAATTAGTTGTATGTCTCATTTTGCGTATTTTTTTTACTTTTCACAAAAATAATTTGTAAAGTAGGTCCTGAGAGATAGCACAGGGTGCCAAGACTTGCCCATAGCTAAACCTAATTTGGTCCCTAACACCATAATTGGGATGCACCATGAGGAAGCTCCCTTCCTCTTGCCCCAATTTGAAAGGGTTAGAACTATCTGTTATTTGAAGTTTTAGTAAAGTATTTTTTCTGCCTTTACTTGACCCTGTTGTTTGTTAGAATTGGAGATGTTTGAATCTTTAGCCAATAGCCTTAATGACGTTAGTTTTCAAAATTTCTATAACTCATATAATTTTAAAAAATTAATACTTTCCTAGTTTCAAATTAACCACTGTAAAGTTATAGTACTTGCTTATAATTACCAATTTTTTTACTTCTATTAATATTATTTCATATTTATACATATTCTTTCCTTGAGCTAACTTGCTGAGTGTCATTTTTTAGTTATTAAAAAAACCTTTTTGAATCAGTTTATTATACTCACACTTTTGTTCTATTTTGTTTCCTAATTTATTAATCTTGATTAGAATGTAGTTCTTTTTGTCAATCCTGTAAAAAAAAGTGCAATGTGTCTTCCAATATCTTTTAAGTTGACTCCTACATGCTTTCATATTTTATTGCCAATTTTGAATGGCAAGAGTGAAGTCTTACATTTGTAAATCAGGGAAGACAATGTGGTATCAGCCCAAGTTGTGTCCTGCTGGGATTTTCAGTTAGAGGATTTCAAAGGAAAAAGATAGGAGATAAAACTAATTAAGAACTAGGAATGGTTGTTGGTTACATTCTTTTGAGTTTGTTGGTTGCTTGTCAAACTAGCATTGCAAATTATCTTTATAAGGTTCTCAGAGAAGGCTCTGGCTAGCAAAGCTGTGTCTTACCTGTCAAAACATTTGTTTTTAGATAAAGATCAGTAAGATACAATCTGAGATACATGCTGAATCACTTCAGTAGCCTGTACACACCTAAAGTTTCTCTTCTGATTTCTGTTGTGATTTTATTTTTGATCCAAAATTATTTAAATGTGTACTTTATTTTAATTTAAATTTTATTCGAGAAACTAAGATTTACAATACTGTTAATAATAGGGTTTTATGCGTACAATGTCCCAACACCACACCCTCCACCAGAGTGTCTGAATATTTAAAATTTTAAAGCATAATTTTACTGAATATATATGCATGTGTTTTGCTACAGTTTATATATTTATTTCATTGGTTTTTTTTCCAGAATATATGCTTTATAAAGTAACAATTTAAATCTGACTTACTAATGGTCAACTTTTGCAAATATGACAAAAGTCACTGTAAATATGACAAGTGTTTAACACAGCAAACCAAAATGCATTAGTATGTAGCATACTCTGTGGGTACTTTGTTAAAAGAATTCATCATTGAACATCTGTCTACACAAGTATGTTATCAAAAGATAACAAATTAAAATTTTTTGTTAGAGAATCATCATAATATCAGATCATGAAGTGTCTGGGATCAGTGTTGTTGATTGTACTTTGTACTGTACTGTGCAACTGTTAATGTCATTTGATCAAAACAATTTTTACTTTATTTCTTAAAATTTTTTAAAAACATTTTTAATTGAATCACTGTGAGATAGACCCTTACAAAGTTGTTCGTGGTTGTATTTCAGTCATACAGTATTCCAACACCCATCCCTCCACCAGTGTACATTTCCCAGCAACAGTGTTCCTAGATTCCCTCTATCACTCTCCACCCTCAACCTCCTGCCTGCCTCTATGGCAGGTGCTTTTCTTCTCTCTCTCTCTCTCTCTCTCTCTCTCTCTCTCTCTCTCTCTCTCTTTCTCTCTCTCTCTCTCTCTCTCTCTCTCTCTCTCTCTCTCTCTCTCTCTCTTTCTCTCCCTTTATTTCTCTTTTTGGGCATTGTGGTTTGCAATATCGATACTGAAAGGTTATCAAGAATAGGAGCGATAGCACAGCGGTAGGGCGTTTGCCTTGCACGCAGCCAACATGGCCGACCCGAGTTCGATTCCTCCGCCCCTCTCGGAGAGCCCGGCAAGCTACCGAGAGTATCTCGCCCTCACGGCAGAGCCTGGCAAGCTCCCCGTGACGTATTCGATATGCCAAACACAGTAACAACAAAGTCTCTAATGGAGACTTTACTGGGCCTGCTCGAGCAAATCGACGAACAACGGAGGGCCTTTACCTTTACCTTACCTTACCTTTACATACTTTTAACCCTCAGATCTTGTCCAGCGTGATCATTCTCAGCTATTAAGAGTCATTCTGGTCCCTTCTCTATCTTACCTACCCTCAGCCCCACACACCCTTGTGGTTAGTTCTAACCACTGATCAGTCCTCCTAATCCATTTTCCCTGGCCATGGAAACTAGTCTTCTATTATATATTTTTTATATACCACAAATGAATGCAGTCATTCTATATATGTCCCTTCCTTCTGACTCATTTCACTCAGCATGATACTCTCCATGACCATCCATTTACAGGTAAATTTCATTACTTTATTTTTCTTAACAGCTGCATAGTATTTCACTGTATAAATGTGCTATTGTTTCTTTATCCATTCATCTGCTCTTGGGTACTTTGGTTGTTTCCAGATTCTGGCTATGGTGAATAATGCTGCAATGAACGTAGAAGTGCAGATGGTATGATCAAAACAATTTTTAATCAGAAGTGTATGTCTCATTGGCTGGAACTTAAAAATTATTCAAAATAAATTTTTTCTATAAGAAATTAAAATATCAGGGCTGGAGCGATAGCACAGTGGGTAGGACATTTGCCTTGCATGCAACCAACCAGGACTTGATTCCCAGCATCCCATATGGTCCCCCAAGCACTGCCAGGAGTAATTCCTGAGTGCAGAGCCAGGAGTAACCCCTGTGCATCATCGGGTGTGACCCAAAAAGCAAAAAAAAAAAAAAAAAAAAGCAAAAACAAAACCAAGAAATTAAAATACCTTAGTAAAATTCCCCCATTTTTTTATTGATTCTCATTACTTTGCAATATTATAAAAATTGAAGGATATAGCTTAACACCTCTATATGACAGTATTCACTGAACCTACCTCCAAAGTTCCCCCCAAAGCGACATGATTGCAATTTTAATATAAACATTAAATATCATAATTAATTTTTCCTTTTAAAGTTTCTATACTACTTTTATTTTATATACTGTTAGTTATGCTTTTTCCCTTTCTCTTCTTTTATAATTTGCATGGCATCTGTTGAATTGATGAACTTTTCTGCATTTTCTATTTTCATCCTTATTTGTAAACTTCTTAGTACTGATCTCTTTAATTACTTCTTCTTGATAATTCTTGATTATCTTCTGGGAGTTCAATTAAATCAACTTTCACAGCTTTCTACTCTGTTCATATTCTAATATGTATGTCTGATGTAAGTGTACATACACATACTTAGATATAACATCATTGTCACTTTATATAACCTACTGCAGCTATAGTTAATCAGGAGAGAAAAACCACACCCAGGTAGTGATGAGCAGGCACTTCCTCTGGGACCTCAGCAATATAGGAGGCCAGTGGTAGACTCTATTGCAAGTGTAGAGATAGTCTTGAATCCCTTATTGTTGTGGGGCACTTACAATGATCTTAGGGGATAAACTCCATCCTCCACTCCCCCCTCTCACATACACACACATGCACACATACACACACACACATCCTGGATCTTTGGTAGGGAGTGAGGGTTGCCCAGTTTTTCTCAGGAACTCCTGGCCATACTTAGTCCAGTGGTGCTGGGCTAGATGATTAGAACTCTGACACAGTGACATGAAATTGTTTGAAAACAGTAGTGCTGAGGACCACATGAGCTACTCCCCAAAGTGCTGTACGATATAGGAACGAGGTACCAGGTTTAGATCCCGGGGCCTTTGAGTTTGATCTCCATCACTCTGACTGCTTTCTTTACTATATTCTGGATCTTTGAATTGAATTTTAAAGAAATTCTAAAGGCTACTAGTCGATATGAGTGTCATTGGTCAGTTACACTGACTCAAGAAACTAAGTAATGTGGCCAGTTGATTATGTTCTTGTGAGTTTAGTTTTTATTCAGAAAGAACGGAAAAAAGATAACAAAAATTAAGAAAATAACTTTCAATCTATCTGTCAGAGGCAAGCCATTTTTAATGGTCTGAGTTTACCTTTTCCAATAATTTGGCTCTTTTATAGAGGCAATTTTAAAAACTGGGTCTGAGGCTAGAGAGATAGTACAAACAGGGAGGGTACTTGCCTTGCATACTGTCAAACCAGATAGATTCCTGGCATCCTATATGGTCTCTCAAGCCCTGCTAGAATGATCCCTGAGCATAGAGCCAAGAGTAAGTCTCCTAGAGGTTGCTGAGAATGGACCAAAAAACAAATAAAATCTAATTTTTTTGACATGGGGTTAGTGATGCATATTTTTTGGGCCAAATTGCTAGTTTATTGCCATTTAGATTAAAGGCAAGAAAAAATAATTTTAATATTTTATTTTATTTTGAGGAATATATGAACACTATTTCTTTTAAAGTCTGTACATTCATTCTTTCATATTTACTTAACTTACATTTCTCTTTTTAAAAAAATTAAATATTTTTTAAGTGTCTGCTATGAAGGAGGGAGGGAAACTGGGGATATTAGTAGTAGGAAATGTACACTGGTGACGGGATGGGTATTGGAACATTAGATGACTGAAACTGAAGCATAAACAACTTTGTAACTGTGTATCCCACTATGATTCAATTAATTATTTTATTTTTATAGGGCTGTTGACTTCTGATTGTAGTTACCATGTCTGAGTCCATTGTTCTTCGAAGTGTAAAGAAATTTGGAGAAGAGAATCATGTTTTTGAATCAGATGGATCGCGTAAGTAGTTTTTGTTATAACTTTCTCATACAGAGAGTTGAAACAAAAGTGGGACAAACCAATAATGTTTTAAGGAACAGGGAAAAAACCCAAAATAATATATAGAATTAGTTTCAGAAGTGATTATTCCACATGAACAATTCTCTAGGATCCATAATATGCAATATATAAAAATTCTAGGTAAAAATACATAAAAATATGGGTGAAAGAGCATGTCACCTATAAACATCTCTTTTCTAAAGCAAGGTGGTTTCTGCATTACTTTCTACTTTTATTTTATTTCTGTATTGTCAAAATTGATGATAGAAATGATCATTTCATGAGTGCTGTTCACTCACAGAAATTACAAAATCTCTGCTGGCTAGAAAGAGATATAGTATAATCTCAGCCTGGCATGAAGTCATATGCATACCATATACTATACCCATGAATCATTTTTTATCTTTAGTGATTTTAGTTGACTTATCATTGGTTTCTACCCCTTCTGTTTTCCCTTTAGTAACCACCATAATTTTCACTGACTCTAAGGAGTTAGTTGTTTTGTTTTTTTACATAGTTTTTTTTTCAATAATTGGCATTTCATATATGAATGTAACTATTTGATAGTGACTTTTATTTTCTTACTTCACTCAGTATAGCTATTTCAAATCTCATTCATTTTCCCCAAAAGGTATAATTTCATCTCTTTTTTAAATAGTAGAATAGCAATTCCATTGAGTAAATATACCAAAACTTCTTTCCAATCATTTGACAGTGGTCATGTGGGTTGAGTCCAGTTTATGTTTGAACTATTGTGATTAATTAGGTTATTATTTTGTTTAACTTATTTGGTTTTACATTTTGTTAAAGAAACTGAGACTTGGATACAAGTTTTTTAAAACTTCAGTAAGTGGGGTCCAGAGATACTTCAAAAGAATGGAATGTGGTTGCAGTACTGTTTACAATAGCAGGATCCGGAAAAAAACCGAATGCCCTAGAACAGATGACTGGTTAAAGAAACTTTGGTACATCTACACAATGGAACACTATGCAGCTGTTAGAAAAGATGAAGTCATGAAATTTACATACAAGTGGTTCTACATGGAAAGTATCATGCTAAGTGAAATGAGTCAGAAGGAGAGGAACAGACATAAAGATTTCATTCATTGGGGCAATATAATATAACAAAATAGGAGACTAACACCCAAGAATAGTCAAGATAAGTACCAGGAGGTTCTCTCCATGGGTTGTAGGCCATCCTCACATGCTGGGGGAAAACACAGCTCAGATAAAGAAGGGAGCACCAAGTAAAGGGTGTTGGGAGGATCCTCCCAGGATGGGAGATGCATGTTGAAAGTAGACTATAGACCGAACATGATTGCTGCTCAATACCTCTGTTGCAAACCACAACAGCCAAAAGGAGAGAGAGAGAGAACAAAAGGGAGTGCCCTACCACAGAGGCGGGGTTTGATGGGGGTTGAATGGGGGGGGAGTGCTACTGGGATCATTGGTGGTGGAGAACGGGTACTGGAGGAGGGATGGGTACTGGATCATTGTATAACTGAAGCCCAAGCAAAAAAAAAAATTTGCAAGTCTACAAGTGTACCTCATGGTGTTTCACTAATAAAAATTTAAAAAAAAAAAGGAATGTGAGACCCTTAACAATACCTCTAACACTGCATGTCCTGGAGCTCGAGGGTGGCTCCTATTTTTAAAAAATGGTGCAGATCACATGACTAGTAATTAATAGAGCCATAATCCTAGTCCAGTTTTAACTGGTCCCCAAACCCAAGGTGGCAGTTTTATATTATTGTGCCTTTTAATTCTAATTTAAATCATTTTCTTCTGGAGGGGAGCTTCCCACGCAATGCTCAGGAGCTCCCAAGAGGTGCTCAGTGATCTGGGGTGGTGCTACTTCTAAAGATTCCTGGTCAACTGAACAGTTCAATGCTAGGACCCAGTGAGAAAAGCTGTCCAGGTTCTGTGGTGCCAGGAACCACCTGCGTCACCCTGGTAATCCTCAGAGCCACCTACGCAACTTGGCAGTGCTTGGGGTATCCAGGTTACCCTTGGAAGTAATGTGGTGATAAGGTTCAATTCCAGGTCCCAGCATGTGTGAAATAATGTGCTCATGATCTTGAGCTATTTTTCTAACTCTCTTAAACTAAACTAAGCTAAACTTCAGGAGAACCAGTTGTGTGGATGCGTAGTAGCAGGTGACATTAAGACAATGGGCTCCTTCACCTGTGATTTCCTTATACTTTTTAACTTGAACCCTCACTTTCAACTCCTTCTCTTCAACTGCTCTCATCTCTCCTGAGTAAAATAATACATAGCACATTTCTATGGCTTCAGTGAGCACAGAAGTGTCAATAATATCTCATTGTTCTTATTTTTATTAGGAAATTTTTGATATTTCTAAAGCAAAGAGTGAATAAATACTTTGTCTAATAGTTCAAAAACAACCAGACTTTCCTAAGCTAATATGGAAATGTAGGGCTCCAGAAAAACAAAATATCTATGTTCTATAGAAAAGTTCATAAATGTTCAGAAATCTATGTTCTATAGAAGAGTTCAGAAATGAAGCCAGACTATTTTTTATTTGAGCATATTCTATAATTGAGAGAGAGAATGAGAGGGACAGAGACAAAGAGAGAGAACAAGGGAGAGATAAGAAATAAAAATAATCACCTCACAAAGTTCCATGAATGAAAAATTAAAGCAATTGTAGGAAAGTTTTTCTAAAACAAAACTATTAACAATTTTAAGTTATTAATTTTGTTAATATTAACTGTTATTTTCATTTTTATCCTGATAGATACTGACAAGAGTTCAAGGTAAGTGACTATTTCGATAATCATTATCTCTACTAGAAGAATAATCATTATCTCTACTAGAAGAACTCCATAATGTTTCTATAAAAGGTTCAAAGTAGAAACTATTTTCATGAACATTTAATTCCTGTAAAATTATTTGTAGAATTCTTTTTTTTTTTTTTCCATTTTGGGTCACACCCGGCGAGGCTCAGGAGTTATTCTTGGCTCTGCACTCAGGAATCACTCCTGGTGGTGTTCAGGGAACCATATGGGAAGCCAAGGATTGAACCTGGGTTGCCCCCTTGCAAGGCAAATGTCCTACCCACTGTATTATAGCTCTGGCCCATGTTTGTATAATTCTTACCTCTGTTTCTTTAATTACTATAATCTATTAAAAAATAAACCTTTAGGAGAAACATAGTATGTCTGAAACTCAAATATGAATAACTGTGAATCATAGTATCTTAACACAAAAGTTAAAATTCAATTAAAAAGTGAAATAAATATTCAGAGTATTTTTCTGTGTTACACTCAAATATTTCCTCCAGAATTTTTGACAGAATGGGCAGAGGAAAAGTTGGACAAATATAATTTCATGCACACAGGATAGGTACCCAAATCCTAAATTCTTCCTATAGGCAAAGAACAGAAATGTAAAGTTTAATTAGTACATACTTTTCAAAAGTTTTCTTCTTTTTGGTTTTTTGGTCACTTCCAGTGGTGCTCAGGACTAACTCAAGGCTCAGTGCACTGGGATCACTCTTAGTGGGATTTGTGGGGGCATGTATGATTCCGGGAATTCAACCCTGTCTTGACATGTGCAAGGCAAACCACAATACAGAATCATACCATATACTTCTTTAGCATAGGAAGCAAATGCTATTTAATAGTATTTCGCCTTAAGGGCAGATTTGGAGAGCAGCTCATTTAGGAAACAAAGATAAGAGGCAGTTTCCTGAAAAAGAGACCATAGAAGGGAGAGATTTACAACGCTTAAGAAATTTTAAGTAATTCACAAGAGAGGGAGGCACTGGGTATGGTAACAATAACATTTAGACTAGGAATCAAAGAACCACTTACTTTATCAGATGGGAAAGAGATAAAAATAGTTGTGGATGCAGACAAATGGCAATGAGAAGATTAACTAGAAAGCTGAATAAGATCTTTGTTAGAGAAAATGAATCTAATCAGTATATAATAATGTTGAGTCAGCAGATAATAGCAAAAGTTTCTGTAAAGCTGCTAAGTGGAATACCAACTGTGAGGTGGAATTTTGTGGAAAAATGAAGGACAGGATTTAGACCTGAGCTAAGGTTAGCTATACATATCATGCTGGGGGATTTAACTGTACTGTATGAGTGGGCTGGGGGATGAGAAGGAAGAGAAAGAGGGATCGAATCCAGACTCCAGAGAAGGAGGATGAAGGGGGATGGAGAAGGAGAAAGAAGTAGCATGGGGGAGGAGGAGGCAGAGACAGAGGCAGAGAAGGGAGACTGGTGTGGATGAAGAGAGGATTGGAATAAACTGCGACTAAGACCAACCAGTCTGCCCCTTGTTCCTTCCTTTGCCTGCCCATCGCCATCGACCTCCCTGGGGTGGGGGAAGAAGGGTGAGACTACCGAACGCGGGCAACGGGAGAGATAGAGCCACACCACTGTGTGCTGTGCCCCTTTATTGAGTTTACACACCCCAGCATGAGGGATTGGGGTAATAATTACACATAGGTGTGGTCACAATCAATAGGGGTAGAACTCTTTCCCTCAGGGAAAAGCCGCTCCTAGGACAGATCCTCTCTCAGCAGGAGGACCCACCCTAGAGCGGAATCCAAAGGGCGTGTTTCTCCTCTCCTTGTCCGACAAGCATATAAGCATATATAATATAAATCATTTTGTATGGATACAGTAAGAAATATCTTAAACTTATAGAATTGCCCTCCTAGGGTCATCTCGATCTCAGACTACAGTGCTCAGGCCAGATAGTCTTTCCCACCCCTAGCAGGATCCTAGTCTCGTCGTTACTTTTGGATCATGATAGCATTTGTCTATGATCAAACTCTTAACTTATAGTTAAGAATCGTGGCACTTTGGCCTGGCCCATTTCGATGCCAGGGTAGCTCACCACTTGCCCTGGGTCCATTCAGTCCCTCGTCGGGACCCTGCTTTTGGGGTGTTAGGAACTAAGGGCAACTGATGCTTAAGTCGAGAAAGCAGATGCCTGGGAGTGAATAATATTCAAAGCCAATCAAATCCTAAGTTACAAAGCATAATGTTAACGGTCTTCCTGTATCTATACAAAAAGGGCATTGCTTTAAAGTAAACTGTTCATAAGGCATAAGGAGAGGAGAAAGGCAATATTTCACCCATACATATAAAATCATAGATTTCTGAGGAATCTAACCTTACAAGTTAACAGAGTCTGATTAGGGGGAAAGCTGATTAACTGGTTGGGAAGGAGAGCCTAGGGAAGAATATTTACAGATAAACACAATGGAATGGAAGTGCCTCAGGAGCACTGTGATGGGTGTAACCAGATAAACCTAAGCTCCTTGTGGAGGAAGGACAAAGCAATGTCATCCTACAATTTTACATATATTAATTGAATTCTTCCTATTTGTCAAGCTTTCATATTGATATGAAGGATATAGAAAGAACAAAAGAGGTAAAAATCTCTGACTTTAAGGAATAATATTTAGTGAGGGAGTTATAATAAAACCACAAATACAGAAAATAACATGGTAGCTAGTGCTGATCTATCTCTGAGAAAAAAATAAGGGAAATTAGAAGTAGAAATATGAAATGAATTGGGCCGAAGATGTAATTTTTAGGACTTGACAAAACTTTTTTGGGCCCTGTTGAGAAGGTAACTTTTGAATTAAAGACTGAAGGAAGGAGGAAGGAACAAAGAGGTCGATGATTAGAATGGCAAAAACTGTGCACAAAAGGTGATAGACTAGAAAGCAAATTAGTCAGATCATAAAGGGTCCTAGGCATCTCAGCAATAAAGAGGGGTGTAACTCTCAACCTGGGATAATGCTAGGTAAAGTATGTGGATTGCTAGGGAGAGGGGTTATTTATAGCAGGGCTATTTGACCTGAGGAGGAAAGGGACAAATGGTTGGATGGAAGCAGAGATGATGATGAGACTAGGTTGTATATGGCTGAAAGGATTGAGAGAAGTGACAAAAATGAGAGGCTATGTAGCTTAGGAAACAAGGTGAAGGAAACAAGAGGCTGAGAGGGTTTAAAAACTTTAATTAAGTAATTTGAAGATTTAGGTAATTTCAGGTTTAGCTAAGATGACTAATAGAAATAGGAGGAAGAAAGGATCAAACAAAATAATCAGTTACATTGCTGATGGAATAGCTTAGTTTCTTGTGAAAGAAAGGTTCCAGGTGTATTCATAAACATATAACTCAAGTGAAGAAGAGAGCCGTAGAGTTGAAAAGGGAAAATACAGTTGAATACAATCTTATGAGTAGTGAAGTGAATGAAGAATAAAAATGATATTATGAAAAATATATTTTTAAAAATTATTGTATCAACATCAGTTATAAGTTTTTCAATGCATGAAGAACATTTTAATCCAACTTCCTCTATTTATCCACCAGGAAATGTAGACAGAAATAAGTCAAGTATCAAAACTGAAGCACAAAAGTTATTTTCTAGTTTAACTGAGAGAGCAGGGTATTTTTTACTTTCTTTAAGTACCTCTCAGAAAAACCTCAGTGTATCTGCTGAACATAAGGTATAATTATACTGAAATCTCTAGAATCAGGTAAATTATAAGAAGAACAGCTGTTTTTAAGAGATCAAGTTTGGAGAAAATTTCAGAGTTGATGTGGGCAAGAAATTTCATTAAAGTATAAAGCATAAAATCTCCATCTTGATAGAATTTATTATTGTTCTAGAAGTGGTGGTTAATAAATTTTTGTTTTTGCTTCAGGATAAAAGATGGAAAGAAACAAAACAGCAATCAAGTTGGCTTCTTTCAATTGGTAATAAAACTAAACTGATTTATGGCATAGGGTTTGCAACTGTGAATTATCCAGAACTTATAGAAGTGTGAAATCTTCTGTCATATTGGCAGATTTTTAACTACAATGACTACTTTCTTAGTCATAAACTTTGTGTGATCAACATGCTGCATGATGATTAGAAATATAATTCTGATTGCATATATAAATCCTATCTGGTAGATCAGAAATGTGTCCTGAAAAATAATTACTAAGATTTAAGTTACAATTGAAGCAAGGAAATAGTAATTAATCACTGTCACTGTCCTCCCGTTGTTCATCGATTTGCTCGAGCGGGCCCAGTAACGTCTCCATTTTGAGACTTGTTGTTACTGTGTTTGGCATATTGAATACATTACAAGTAGCTTGCCAGGCTTTGCCGCAGGGGCAAGATACTCTAGGTAGCTTGCCAGGTTCTCTGAGAGGGGCAAAGGAATTGTACTCAGGTCGGCCATGTTGGCCGCTTGCAAGGCAAATGCCCTACCCGCTGTGCTATTGCTCCAGTATTAATATTAATCAAAACATATATATTTATTCTTATGACAAGGTTTTAGAAATACCACATAACAAGTATTTTCCTAAAATGTGCATGGAGTAAAGACATGACTAGCGCTGATATACATTCTTCATTGTCAACATCAGTTCTAGGAGCCAACTTATGCTCAATGTCCCATATAGTGTAGCTGCAGGACAACATCATCATGCTAGGGATTGCTTTCTTTTCATCAACTCTGATGATGACCAGCTGAGAGCTAAAGCGCTCTTTAGGTAAATATAATGAATTCAGACACTACGAAAGACATAACACAAACTAACAGTGAGTCTAGTATTTGAAGTCATTGGTATAACATTATTTTAACATAACCAGTGAGAACTCAACTGGTCAATCAAGGTGATCCCCATACAATTTGGTGTTGAATAATATTTAACATAATTAAGTAACTAAATTAAATAGTCCTCCTACCTCTCCTGCTTTTCACCCATAGATGATCTCTGAATCCTTTGTTTTTCAAGTTTCGTTTTTCTTCAACGACTGACATTTGGCTGATGTTTGTGGGAAGTTTATGTGCATTTCTCCATGGACTCTCCCATCCAGGAGTACTACTCATTTTTGGCACAATGACAGATGTTTTTATTGAATATGACATTGAATTACAAGAACTCCAGATCCCTGGAAAAGCCTGTATAAATAACACCATAGTATGGATCAACAGCTCTCTAAATCAGAATGTGACAAACGGAACACGCTGCGGGTAGGCTATTTCTTTATTCTGTTTTATTATTTTTGCCTGCATCCTTAAATTTAATATATATATATATATATATATATATATATATATATAGGAGTTCACTGACTAAGCTGCACTTACAGTTTATCTAACACTAAGCAAACAAAAATATAATATACAAATTTTCTGCCCTTGGGTTCTCTCCATTGCTTATGTTTTTAAAATGCTAACCCCAAACTTAAACAAACCAGGATTGGAGTTGCTCACTAAATGCATCAATCAAATTTAATAAATACATGGAATACGGACTTGAGGATAACACTAACAGTACTAATCAATCCTATCGTTACTAGAAGAAGGCCCACATAAATTTTAGTTGAGTCCCTATTGGTCTCATATCTTACAGTGTACTTTTTTGGATGACTTTTTTCTTTTGTTTCTTAGCTTTTTCTGTGATGGTAACTGATGGTCCATTTGTCCTACTGTTTTCCCTTTATGATGAGAATTTCATTAGTGTGATATAGGACTTAGGGAAGGCATTGATGGTCTCTGTTGATGGTTGAGATTCTGTGAAAGAGCAGTGCGGAGCTGTGAACAGTACTGGCTGTGTATAACTATCTAGAGATCATTGTGCTATTATTCTCTTTGTGATAAGCATGACGGGCTTCCATGTAATCAGTGAGTTCATAGTTTACAGAGACCTGACTCATTGCCAAGGCATGGACTTTGCAGCCTGCCTCATGCTGCCTCAGAGCCAGAACAAGCTAATTTGCACGTATGAAACCATAGTCAGATTTGGGACTTATGGGCAGGGCATATCCTGACTAGAATTACTTGGAATGGTTCCCTCTGAGTAAATTTATGTCATGTTCCTCCATTAAAAAAGTTGCCTAAAGGCTTGATTCCAAATTCCAGACTAATTCTAAATCACAGACACTCTTTAATGATATATACTCTTAGGATCTTTTATTAATTCACTTCTTCAACTGAAACTCTGAGCACAATGTACCAGGAACTTTTGCAAGCATCAAGGAGGCTAGTAGTTATTTTAAGAATTATGGTAAGTAGCTGTTTGGAATTCAGTTTTAGTTGGTGTGACCACCATTGAATCAATTCAGATAATACATAGCTAAAAGCTGGTTGATGCTCAGCAGAAAAGTACCTAATACTATATAGTAAGCATCCTAGCCTTTTAAAAACAAGCCTATTAGAAATAAATTCCCTAATGTCTGAATTTGGAAGTTAATTATTTTTTTAAAATAATTTATTTATTTATTGAATCACTGTGGGAAAAGTTACAAAGCTTTCAGGTTTAGGTCTCAGTCATGCAAATATCAAACACCTTTCCCTTTACCAATACTTATTTTTTACCACAAAGAACCCCAATAAACCCCCATCCCCCACCCCTCCAAATGCCTGCGAGGCAGATGAATTCTAGTTAACACTCTATCTGCTTTGATTAGATTCATTGTTTCAATAAAAGAGGCACAACTATTATTTAGAGTTTACCGCCCCCCCCCCCCCCCAAATCAGACATGCTGAAAAAGCATTGTGAAGTGATTCGCTTTCTACAGCTGGGTTCAAGAATTAAATGTTGGTTTGGATTTCTGCTATTTTACTAATTAACCCTGGAAGTATTTCTACTGAGAGTCAGATAATTAAGAGATTGGTTTCTGTGCTCTGGAGTCGTGGCCGTGCTGGAGAGCCGCTCGTGGGGGGCAACTGGTGGCCTTGGTAGGGCGTGAAGGATGGATCGGAACACCCCCCTTCCCATGAGGTTTTAGTTGCCCCCACACCCCCGGATCATACCTGCTCTCCACAAGGCTCCCATGCGGCTGCCATCTTTTTTTCCAGAGAGGAGAGGGCGAATGGGGCAACACCCTTTCCCCTCTGGGCAGACATGATGGCCTGGATCAATGCATAGTCCATTCACTTTTCTGCTCCAAGCTGCTGGGTTCTGCATTAAGTCCTTGTGCTTCTGGGCTGTGGCCGTGCTCCAAACTTAACTCTGATTATCAGGGAGAAACGTTGGGTGATTTACTTCCCATTGATGACTTTGTATATACAGAGATGTATATAAAATTAATCACTCCCTCTTTGATGATAAAAATTGCCCAGAGTATTAATAAAACTTATGCAGATAAAATTTTCAAGGGAAAATTCTTGCAAGTATGAATTGTGTCTTAAAATTTGGAAACAAATGTTAGAGAAGCAACAAATTGAGAGATATACTTATGATACTGGGTGCTCATAAAACTTTGTTAGATGAGTTAATTTGCTTTTACTCTCCATAATACAGAACATCCATAAGACAGAAACTCACTGTGACTATCCATTACTCATACTTTATTCATTTTTTCTGGGTTGTATAATTAAAAGTGAACAAAGAGAGAAAAGCAAATAGTTTTTTTAGTTCTTATTGGCTTTGATGGAATTTACATAATAGCAAATATGCAAATGTATGTTTGTCCTTATCTATTTTTAAAATTTCATAAAGATATATGCAAGTACAGAGACCACAGGCCTTTCTTAGTCATTTTTTCCAGGAATTATTTGAAGATTACATGTTTATTATGAGGTTTTGTATTCAACCACAAATCTATTGTTCATTTCACTTCTTTTTGAAAGGATGGGGAATCATCTCAAGAGGTGATTTGGAGCCCAGGGCCACTCATGGTGATTCTTGGACATTCATATCTGATAATTCAATGCTACAGCCAGTGGATGTGGCCTGTTTGGGCCATGTAGTTCAGGGCACCTTCAGAACCAATGCAGCAGTGCTCTGACTTCTTCAGGACTACACCTTATACTGGGAGGGCCATGTTATCCCAGAAATCCTTAGAACACCCAAACTCATATAGTATCTCTCCAGCCACTTCTGAAGAAATATTTATTTAGCTTTTTGCATAGTAAGATCACTGTAAAAAATGCATTTGGTTGGACCAGACACTACAAAGGATATTTCCAACTTGTAAGTAGTCTCCAAAATACCCAACTCTTCTACAACTTTCTTTGTTGAAAAAGTATAATATAAAAAAGTTACAATTTTTGAAAATTTTTCACCTAGCACAATAGATTTATTAGTCTTGGACTACACAAAATAACCCATGACTATCTATAGAAGCATACCTGTATTATGGTGGTAACTAGTTTTTTCTTTTATTGGTTTATGAACATCCATTGTAACCCACTGAACAGAGTTTTCAGGCAAGAGCTTTCCAAATGGCTCTCAGTAAATAATTCTAAAAGATTTTTTTTATCACAATTCTGACTAGTTTATCAATGTAGCATTGTAGCACTGTCCTCCCACTGTTCATCAATTTGCTGGAACAGGCACCAGTTATGTCTCCATTTTGAGACTTGTTGTTACTGTTTGTAGCATATCAAATACACCACAGGGAGCTTGTCATGCTTTGTCGTGCAGGCGGGATACTCTCAGTAGCTTGCCGGGCTCTCCAAGAGGGGCAGAGAAATCGAACCTGGGTTGGTCGCGTTCCAGGGAAATACCCTACCTGCTGTGCTATCACTTCAGCCCAGTTTATCAATGTATTCTCTCAAAATAGTCAAATGATAAAAGAAAAATAATGGCACTCATGCTGGGATATGTACACCGATGAAGAGATGGATATTGGAATACTATGTGGGTGAAATCTAATCATGAACAGCTTTGTAAGAGTCTTTATAAGATTCAATAAAAAAAGTAAGAAAGAAAGAAAGAAAGAAAGAAAGAAAGAAAGAAAGAAAGAAAGAAAGAATACTTATACTTCTCATCTTGGATGTGGGAAAAATGCATATACATATTTAATTAAGAATGCAAAGAGAGGGGCTGGAGCAATAGTACAGTGGGTAGGGTGTTTGCCTTACACGCTGCCGACCTGGGTTCGATTCCCAGCATCCCATTGGTTCCCTGCGCACTTTCAGGAGTAATTCCTGAGTGCATGATCCAGGAATAATCCCTGTGCATGTCCGGGTGTGACCCAAAAAGAAAAAAAAAGAATGCAAAGAGAGCAAATGAGCACATAAAAATATCTTCAACATCATTACTTAGGGAGTGAAAATTCAAAATCAAAATGAGGGGCAGAGAGATAGTACAGATGGTAAGGCACTTGCTTTGTCTTGCAGGTTGCTGCAGTGGTCATGAGCCTATTCTGAACCACTGACCACTGCATGGGTCACTCCTGAGAACAGAGCAAGGAATAGCCTCTGAGAACTACTTGAGTATGGCCCCCAAACTCTCCTACCTGCCCCCAAACTGAAAAAAAGACACACAAATAGTTTTTGTTGCTGTTCTTGTTGTTGTTGTTGTTATTGTTTGTGGGGGAAGCACACATGGTGTCTCAGGGCATCCTCCTGGTTCTAAGCTCAGTGATCACTCCTGGCAGACTCAGTAGTCCATATGGGGTACCAGGGATTGAATTCAGGACAGCTGCATACAAGGCAAGTGCCTCTTCTATTGCACAAAGGAATACAGAGCACACAAAATTTTGAAAAAAAGTGGTGTAGATACACTTATGCCAGCTTCTGATGATCAATTTATGGTTGACTCTGATGTTTACCCTAAAATACCAGAGCTAAATGGTCTGAAATGCATGAGAACTGTTGAAAGGAAAATTCTTTGTTAAGCGAGTCCTCTTTTTAAAAGAGCTTTTAGGCATTTTAAAGGAAAAGGCTATTGCTCTACTAAAGATAAATAATCTTGATGTGTAAATTGAATAATGCAATTTTATAATGGATCTGGTTTTTGAGAAAGGCAAACTGAGAATCCTCAAGTCTCAATAATTTGTAAGAATCACTTACACTATACCTCTGTCATCTTTCCTCTGTTCTTTCTTCAAACACTAGTCAGGGGAATCTTGATTCAAGTAGATGTATGTTGACTTTACTTTTTAAAATGAAAGCGCCCTTTCTGGAATCCAAATTATTTGCACAGTATATGGAATCCTTTTTGAGATTTTAAAATCACAAGCTCTTTCCACCATACAGATGATAAAGTGTTCGATGTGCAAAGAAATCAAATAAGCCACTCCTTTTCCAACCTGTCAGGAAGGTTTGTTCAACTGTCCCAGAAATATTCTCAAGTAATCTTTAAAAACTCAATGGCTTCTTCCCCAAAGTTATAAAATAGACGTGTGTTAACTATTAAGCTCCATGATGTCTCAGGAGTGAAAAGAATCATCACCCACTTGAGCCACCTGCTACGCCCAGCAACAATAGCCCTGTCAGATTAAGTTTGCTTAGGTGAATTATGAAGGTCAGTCAGCCCTTAGAACTGAGTCCACATAGGAAGACTCCTTACTGGCAACTATATTTTATGAAAGACACTTTATCACATCTGCTAAAGTGTAGCATGAATGCATTTCAGAAAATCCCAGTAAAACCTTTGACCATTGCTCATGGTGTTTTGTGCTGGGACAACCAAATTTTATTTCACAGGCAGAAAAAAGAGGAAGATGGACTTACTTATACTTTAGAGGTTTTACTCATAAGGCTCAATTATACTGTGTTTCAGAGATCATTTGCTTTTAGAAAATACTGTTTGTAGATACTTACATATAAATTTTACATAAAACATTTCCACTTCTTGTTCATTCTTGAGGTTTCCCTCAAATCATCATTAAATATGGTGAACTAGGGATCACAGACATTGACTTATTTGATGGTTGTCAGGGAGATTAACCAAGCAGTGGTTTCCCTTACTAATTAGTATTTTGAAAGTCAAAGCAAAATCTAGAAGCACTTCTTTTAGCTCCTACACTCTGTAAGGTATCATACTGGGCATAATTAGCAAAAAACTGAAACTCAACTGGGCCTCAGCTTTGTAATCTGCTAAAAAGATGTGTTGAATAAAGCAACAAAACGGGAGACTAACACCGTGGTGGGGAGGATGGGCACTGGTGGAGGGATGGGTACTTGATCATTGTATAACTGAAACCCAAGCACAAAAATTTATAAGTCTATAAGTGTACTTCATGGTGTTTCACTAATAAAAAAAAATGATAAAAAAAATTCCTTTTAGAGAAAGGACTCTCAATTCCCAAGTGTAGTTTTTAAAATCTTTTTTCATTTTCGCTACTGATAAGAAATTTTTCAGATTAAAGTTTTTTAATGGGGAAAAAAAAGATGTGTTGAAAATAGACATACTTAATAAAGAAATTGAGTATTAGTGCAGAATAGCAATAAAACTTTCACAGAATAATATTTTTCTCTGAATTAGATGTGTTATGCTTCAGAACTTGGTCTGGGTACAGTATATAGAGGGAACTTCAATTAAATTTGAAACCCAGATCAAGCTGGAGATGTAAAAAAGAAAGTCAGATAGAGAGCAGAAAGGTTGTAGAATGAGTCATTTATGCTAAAGCTACTACTTTTGAGTAGTCTAAAGAATGTACTCTTTTTTTTATTACCCTATTCTTAAGGATCAGAATTGTCATCAGCACTATATTAAAATTCTGATTATAAAATTCATTATGTCCTGGAAGCAATTTCAGAATAATTTTTTCTTTTTCCTCTATGGCCTTTCTAGTTTCAAACCCAGAACACCACAGTGTGATCAGTGTGTGAGAAAAATGCCTTAGAAATATCTCACCATTTGCCACATGCTTTGGTTTCCACCTTGAAAATTGTCCTGGAGAGAGAAGTGTGATAGACTGAAGCCAGCAGAAAAAACGGGCTTATGTGTTTTTTTTTCCTTCTATGAAAAGTTGACATACATAGTTCTCATACATCATTCTGAAATGGAGGAATTAAAAAGCTGGCTTAGATTCCTAGCAAAAGTAACAGGATCAGTATTCTTTCTGATTTACCACACATCTTTCTACCAAGATCCTTTCAGATACCTGCCTGGTCTTTTGTCTAGCTGTGATTGCTCTATTGCCAGAAAAGAAGCATGAGTGATAGGGGTTACTGGAGACAATAAAGCAGTGGGCTTCTAACTAGTGTGTCTTCTCTTCCAACGATTGCTGATTCATTATGTCACAGACCCATTATCTCAGTGAAAGTGAAATGGGAGGCATCCTTGCTGTGATTATGGCCATGAAGGCTTTAAGGGAATCAGATTGATTAGAATTCTGCATGATAAAGCTACTTGTACATATTTTAAATTCTTCTATTTCCACAAGTGTAACCTTTGATGGCTTGACCTTATCTTTCAGTCTTAACATTTCTCTATCTTTTGAAGGTTGTTCAACATTGAAAGTGAAATGATCACATTTGCCAGTTACTATGCAGGAGTGGCTGTCGCTGTTCTAATCACAGGATATATGCAAGTTAGTAGTGCTATCTTTTTATTTATAGGTTCACAGTGGGTTCAAAGACATCACAATGAAATAAAAATATATTATTCAATTATTTATTCACAAGTACTAAGACTATAAGTTTATTTGGCATAAATTCTTCTTTTCATTTGGAGAAGAATAAAAACCTTCAGAGATGGAGAATAGATCTTTGTATTTAAAGATCTATTGTGTTTTGGTTTCAATAGCTGGTCTTTCCCTACTTTCCCTATTACTTTTTCCTGAATTCAAAAATAGATGGTTGTTGATAGAAAAGAGCAATCTGGATGTGGAGTGTTGGACGAAAATAAAATCTATTTTCTCTCTTTCAGTGGTAAAGTCTTGCCAACTTGTATTTTAATTTCAATCTTATAAACAGAATTTAGAGAATATTCTATGTATAACCATGGAAGGGTTTAACCCTTATCAAGAAAGAAAAAACAAATTTCATTTTTTTACTTTCTTCTATAGAAAAGAAAAATGAATTTCCTACTGCACTTCACACTGCCACCAATTATTTAAGCGTTTAAGAACGTTAGAGATAATTACAAATAGAACTGAATCAACTTTGCTACCACTAATAACTGAATCTAATTTGCTACTGGAAGACTTTGTGTCAGGTTGACTTTTGCATGGTAAAGAGGGGTTTCCCAAGCACCTGAACACTGCATGAAATATTTATTCTAAGAGCTCTGGATGTGGAGATGGGGATGGTGGAAGTGAACATGGGGGATTTACTTCGAAGTTGTATGTGAAAACAGTGACTTAAGGGTGAGGATTTAGTTTTGGCTTTTTGAGAGTTGTTTTACACCTGAAGCAGGTGAAGTTCCATAAAGTTTAACTTTGAAGCGTCAAACCCAGTTCTTCAGACTTCCCTGAACTGGATTCAAACCCAGTTCTTCAGACTTCCCTGCCACAGTTGTTCTCCTCATTCACTTCTCTGAGCAGTGGATGTCAGGGATCACACTTTAGTTCTCAAGAGGAGGCATTTTGTGACTCATTTCTTCTTTTTCTCCATTGTTAGTTACATGGGAAGTATTTTGCCCCCAAAGGAGAAGGAATTAATAAAATATTTTAACACTGCAATGCCAAACATTCTCTTTTCTATTTACAGATATGCTTTTGGGTAATTGCTGCAGCTCGTCAGGTACATAAAATGAGAAAAATTTACTTTAGGAGAATAATGAGAATGGAGATGGGATGGTTTGACTGCAATTCAGTGGGAGAGCTCAACACAAGATTTTCTGAGTAAGTATCTGGTAGAATGTTTTAAATGTTTATGTGATTTTTTTAAATAATAAAACTCACATTTAAATTAAATAGCAAAGTGAAACATGTTCACATGTTGTCTCTTAAAATGAATTCATAGAAAACATGGTTTCTCATAAGCAATGCCTTTTCAAAGATCTTCATTGACAGCCCTGATGCTACAATTTAATTTTTAGGTTCCTGATGAAAATATTGGAAGTTTTAGAGAGTTAATAGAAATAGTATTATATGGCTTTAAAAGGATAAATTGAGCAATGTCACAGTCTATAAAGAAAGCAATACAATTATAACTAATTATCTTGCTTTATCTTCTGAGAAATTTGCTGCACACAAATGAAATCAAAACAGTTTGTAAACAATTCAAATTAAAAACTGTATTTAAATCCATTTTATATTTAAATACTAGTTTAGGTCATTAATGGTCCCCTAGTAATTATGAGCCCTGAGTAATTAGAATTTAGTTGGATCCCATTAAATTGAACTTTGAGGTCACCTGAAAGATAAAGGAAAATAAAGGCAAAATCCATATTACAACTACTAGTTCCTAGTGCTCATTCTTCCCTTACTTCCTGTAGTCTTGAACAAAGACTTAACTTTGCTGGAGTACAATTGTATGAGTTAGAAATAGGAATTTAATGTGATCATATTCAATCTATGTTCTGGTGCACTGATCCTCTGCCCTGCATAAAGATAAACCTCAGAATTTCTGATCTCAAGGAACTCAGAGCTTAAAATAAAAGGTATAAAGATGCAAATAAATACATAAGATTCTTACTATGTGCTTGGCACTGTTCTACATTCTTAATATATGTGTATTAATTAATTCTCGTAAGCACCCATTGAAATAGGTTCTGTTACAATTCCCATTTTAAGATGAAGAAACTATGGCATAGAAAGGTTAAGATGACCAAGAAGAGCTTTTGTTTAAATTCAAAGTCTGGCTTTAGAAAAACTTTGCTCTTAAAAACTAGAATAGTGGTATACAATATACTGCCTATAAACCAATTACAATAATCACTTACAGACTCACAGACAAACTAGTTACATTGCTATGGAAATACAGGGGGGAAGGCATTACTTCTTCTTTGGGGAGGTTATATAAGATTTCATGAATTAGGTTACATATTAGTAGAATCTTAAAAAGGATTTTGCTTGTATAAAGAAGGAAAGAAAAACAAGATTATTGGCTATGAGAAAAAAAAAGAGATACGTAGTCGTTACTACAGTTGTACAAACATGAATTAAGAAAACAGGTATAAGGATAAACTTCTTTGGTTAGGAGAGAAGAGGCTTCATGATCTCCCAAGGTGAAGCAAAATTACAAGATGAGAAAGGCTGTTATGTCCAAGGGCAACAGGTACAGAAATGGGAGTATTCGAAGGATAAAACACCTCTCAGCAAGATATTTGACCAAATTCGGTCTTAGTGATCAAAGTCTCTCTTGTTTCCAGTGATATTAACAAAGTTAATGATGCCATTGCTGACCAAATGGCCATGTTCATTCAGCGCATGACAACGAGCATCTGTGGCTTTTTGCTGGGATTTTACCAGGGCTGGAAACTAACCTTGGTCATTATCTCTGTCAGCCCTCTCATTGGGATTGGGGCAGCCATCATTGGTCTGGTAAGAATATCTCCTCACTTTTCTCTGTGGGAAAACATTTGCTCTGAGAAACAGCTAAAGATGTAATTGATTCCCTTTTCCTAGTGATATCATTATTACCACTTTTATGAGCTTGATTATTTATCAGCAGCAAATAAACCTTTGACAAGTTTGGAATAAAAGATGTTTCGATAGCACACATATTTTTGCATTAATAGCAAGAACAACTACATCTATTAAGCATCCACTATTTAGTCAGGGACCATTAATAGCTTTATATATGTATCTCTAATCTTTATAGTAATTATTGCTTTTTTATCATTTTAAAACAAAGTATTTTAATAATGTTAATTATTTATATTTTAATATTTGAAGTGTTATTAGTGTCATTTAAATATTCAAAATAGAGACTTAGAGAAGTAAAGCGGTGTGTCTGGGACTGCACAGGTAATGAGTGACAGAATGGTGTTCAAATTCATGGTTATCTGAGTCCAAATCTTCACTGATTCTTAAGATGCTTATTGATTCCCATGGTATCTCAAGTTCTAATTCTTTCCTTAAAAAGGCCTAACAAACAAACCTAGGTGAGTATCAAGTACAAAAAATATTTCTGAAATCACAACTATGTTCTTCTTTCCATCTGATCTGTTAAGAAAGAGATTATCTGACCCCTTCTGAGAAATGTCATGGTCACAGTCATGATCCCAGATATTTAGGCCTAAACAAGGTATAAGAGTAAGAATTTACAGTCACTATAATTAAAAAACACTCCCCAAAATTGACAAATTATGATTTCTTTTCTTCAGAGAAGTCATATCATATAATTGTACATAGGATTAGATACTAATAATTGGCTGTAATTCAGAATGAACTCAAGTGAAAAGCTGCACACATTCTCACAGATTGTTAAGCCACAGGCACCAAAATCCATGATAGTACTTTTCTAACAAAATACTAAAATACTTCCTATAATTCACTAGCTATATTACTCAAACATTGCCCAGGTAATAATAAGTGACAAGAATAAAGAGCTCACTTCACTTAATTAGGTCACCACCTGTCTCTATCACCTGGTTCAAGAAATATATTGAATCTGTCAAAACTTCAGTTTCTTTGTCATTAAAATAAGGCTAAAAAATCCTTGAGGTTATTATGGTGATACAAAGCATAATCCATTGTATGTGCTTAGCATGGTGTCTGGCACAGAATTCTTTGCTAAGGAGATTTTAGCTCTTATTTTTTTTTTTCATTCAACCATGTCTGTTAGCTTTATAAAAGTCTTTCCTATCAAATTCTTTCCAGTTGGCATTTCCAAGAAACCTCAGTTTTACAATGATTTTATAGAAAATCTGCAATAATTTGATCTTAGTTCTTACTCCAAATGAAAATGTTCTTTTCCTTAAAGCTCATGATAAGCTCACATTCATATTTGAATTCATGTCACATTTTAGCATGCTAGAAACCAACAATGTCTTGGTTCTTTACAGACTCAGAGCACAGATTCTCTCATAGTTTTTGCGCCCATACTTCAGCTTATAAGGATGTCACTGACTTGGAATGTGTAGCTTAGCGCTAGCTTCTTACTCGATTCAGGTTTGTGCAAGTGCATATAAGGGGAAGTAAGTATGTATATCAAAGCCAAAAGAGTCAACATTATGATAAGTAGAGTTTGCTAGGGAAACTGGGTGGGGTGGGAGGGTATTATAAGTCATTGGGAGCTACGTGAGGTTTGGAGTTGAAACACTGAATGGCTGAAACTCTATTGAAGTTTTTATTTTTTTATTTTTTTGGTCTACATTCAGAAGTGCTTAAATAAAAAAGAATAACAAAATAACTCGGTGTTGGTGGGGGAAAGCAACTTTACTTGATTCTTCAGAAGCAGGACCAAAAAAACCAAAAACCTTGAGAGGTAATGTAGGATAGATTAGAAACTCTTGAAGTTTATCCATGTCTGACATTCATGAGAAACATAGGCAATTGTTATCTTGTTTTCAATGTGCATCCTTTATTCTCCTGTATGAGTCAAGTGGAAGTATTCCTGCATAATGTCATGTGCCATTGCAGTAAAAACTTGACACATTTACAACTACCTCATTTTCCTATTATTATGCTGCCAATATATATTTTAGAAATAAATTGGTCAAAATTGTCATCCAAAACACTGAAGAAAATAACCCATTTTTTCTTATTGTTGCCTTGCAGTCACAAATTTTCATAAAACATGACTTTGTAAAATGTTTTATAATAAGTGATTACTATTACCTATTTTATATATTAGAATTCCGTTTAATATTTTGTTTGATGAAAGTTTTGCTGCTGGGGCCAGAGCAATAGTAAGTAGGGTATTTGCCTTGCATGCCACAGACCTGGGCTTGATCCCCAGCATCCCATATGGTTCCCCAAGCACTGTCAGGAGTAATTCCTGAGTGCAGATCCAGGAGTATTCCCAAAGCATTGCTGGGTAGGACCAAAAAAATAAAAAGAACAAAAAAAGGAGAAAGTTCTGAAGCTGTTGGGCTAGAAAGCTTAAAGGAAAGAGCCTGCATTTTGCATGTAGAAAACACCGGTTTGTTCTCTGGAGCCATACAGGATCTTGAACACAGAGCCAGGAATAGTTCCCAACAACACTGACTTTTTCCCTGAAGATTAATTTTATGGACTTGGATGCTGCATATTTTCTAGATTTTTGGGTAAACTGAACTTTCATAATATTTTTTCCCTTTTTGTTTCTTAATTTGTGCCATGGATTTCTTTGATGGTAAATTCTACCATTGCTCAACACAAGTTCAGTTTTAGAAAAAGAAATATTTGATTACTATTAAGTGAAATGCCTTTTTATTTTCATTTTTTTAAAAGAGCAAGACTATTTTTGTTGAGTCTCTTATTAGTCATAAGCAGATGAATCAAAATGGTATAATATTGATTTTAAGTTCTCATATAGAATTACCCCTGCATGTCTTTACAAGCTCAAAGATGCTCACGTTTAATAGTTCCAGATGATGTTTTGTCAGGCCTCATAATTTGCCTCTGGTATTTGTCTAGAGCATGCAATGGACTTTGGCCAAGAGCAATAAAATGAGACATGGTTTGACTCAAAAACTCCATTTGTATAATCACCAAAACATTGTGGTCTCGGAGAAAACTTGTTTTCTTTTGAGGAGTGCCATGCCCTGCTGTGCTCAGGGCTTACTCCTGACTCAGGAATCACTCCTGACAGAACTCATGGGACAATAATTGAATGCTGGGAACTGAACCCAGGTCAGCTGTATGTAAGGCAAGGGCCCTACCTGCTGTACTATGTCTACAGCCCCAAGAACACTTATTTTGCACCATAGTTGGTGAGAGGGTTTTTGAAGCTTTTAAAAAATAAAATCATTTTGATATATTAACAATCAAACACCATAGATGAGGCTTAGTATGGGTGAAACAGACCAAGTTCCTTCCTCAGCAAGCACCTTCCCAGTGAGGATCTTAAAGATGAAATGTAAGCCACCTATTTCCTCTGCTAAGTGAATAACTGAATGACAAGGTGATATATGTAGTTACCTGATTTTCATTTTTCTTTTCTTATTTTGGATTTTAGAGCGTGTCCAAGTTCACTGATCATGAATTGAAGGCATATGCTAAAGCAGGATCAGTGGCTGATGAAGTCATTTCAGCTATTAGAACTGTGGCTGCTTTCGGTGGTGAGAATAAAGAGGTTGAAAGGTTGGTTAACTGAAATGTCAGCTACTTTCTTGAAATAAACTGTTTGGCATAGTATTCAAATCTCCCCATTTCATGAAAAGTGTTAGATTCTCCTAGGTCTATGGTACCCTGATGAAGCTTTTGTTCAACAGGCAGCTAAGTAGAATAAGTTATATTGGTCAAGTTGCTTAGAGAACTCTAAGTCTTTAGTTATCTTTATCAAGATGTTAGAGTTTGTCCTCATTTAAAAAAGTTATTTCCAATTTGTTTTTAGTTATTTTAGGATATTTTTTAAAGTAGTGTTAGGTTAAATATTTATTTCAAATATTTCAAGTTTGTATACATGTAAAATACCTCTAATAGGGGCTGGCATGATAGTACAATGGGTAAGGCATTTGCCTTTCACACAGCTGACCTGCGGACAATCTATGTCACCTCATATGTCCCCCAGAGCCCCATCAGGAGTGATCCATGAGTGCTGAGCCAGGAATAAGCCCTGAGCAACACTGAGTATGGCCCAAGTCCTCCCCCAAAAGAAAAAAAATATATATATATGTATATCTATGCACTGTCCACTGTCCTCCCATTGTTCATTGATTTGCTCGAGTGGGCAACAGTAAAGTCTCCATTGTGAGACTTCTTACTGTTTTTGGCATATCAAATATGCCATGAGGAGTTTGCCAGGCTCTGCCATGTGGGCAGTATACTCTTGGTAGCTTGCCAGGCTCTCTGAGAGGGATGGAGGAATCTAACCCGGGTTTGCCGCGTGCAAGGAAAATGCTCTTATCCACTGTGCTATCGCTCCAGCCCATATATATATGTGTGTAAACATTCCTGGCAGGACTCATAATAGCTGGGAATTGAACATTCCAATATTTTTATTGAATACTTTTTCATTAAATGTGTTTTATTATCTACTGTGCAATATGATTTTATGAAGTCTATAAAGACATCCACTTAATCAAAATTCAGCATTAATATATTTCAGGTCACATTCTAGGAGCTTAATTCTTGATAAAAATGAAAATTAAATGGCAAGAATATTCTGCTATTAAAAGTTTTACTTTGTCTATTTTTCCACTTATCTTTAATGAGTGCTTACCAGATGTTAGGTATTGGTTTTGAAAAACAGGCAAAACCTTAAAGTCTTATTTGAACTGTTTTAGCTCAAATATACTAATGTCATTCTCAATTGTTACCAACTTTTACCAAACCAAAAATTCAATAGAATTTGTAATTTTCAGTGATTCATTTTTATTTTTTTTGTGTGTGCTAATGAAAGTGAAATTATTTCTTCTACTATTAATGATTTCATTTTAAGTTCTTTATAATGAAGTAGTGTAAATGCTTTTAAAATGCCATCAAACATAGAATAGACCTTTTGTTTGTGTCCTATATGTTTCTAATAATAGTTTCTTTCTAATTTAATTTTGAGGTATAGAAAGATAATTATAGCCTGAGCTGTAAGACAATGCATGCTGTTATTGGCAAGATCATAGAATTTTGAAAGTTTTGTACTTGGATTGTTTCCACATGGTGTTCCCTGTCTCATGACTGTGAACCTGATAATCATGTTACAATATAGAATTCTTGGTCACAGAGCAGATAAATGAACATAAATACATGCAAAAAACTACTTCCTAATCTGGGGGAAATTATTAAGCCATTTTCTCATAGAAAGAATGTCAAATGACTTTCAGATTTATCACAAATAATATTAGTTCTTTTGTGTCCAAATATTTGTATTAAGAATTCTTAAAAGACAAAAAAAGAAGAAAGGAAAATTATTTTCTTTTGGGAAAAAGCTTGCCACACTGTAAGTCATCCAAAAATTAATCAGTGAAGAATTTTGTTGGAATTATTCTTGAACACATTCCACTGCCAGGTTGAAATGAACTTTAGCTATGCAAATGTTGTCACCATTTTCTTTCCCTAAGGCTGCTCTGTGTTTTGGGTGATTTTGTAATCATTTAGCAAAATAACTTCACTGTGGACTGCTATAACCCTTTTACCTCTAGACATCTGTTGCGATACTCAATGTTTTATTTTTGTAGGTATGAGAGTAACTTGGTTTTTGCCCAGCGTTGGGGAATAAGGAAAGGGATAGTCATGGGATTCTTTACTGGATTCATGTGGTGCCTCATCTTCTTCTGTTATGCACTGGCCTTCTGGTATGGCTCCAAACTTGTCCTGGAAGATGGAGAATATTCAGCAGGAACTCTTGTTCAGGTACTTTAATCTCGAACAGATATAACTTTTCCTCCTGGAATCTCAGAGACATCCACAATTAAGACATTGTTCACTTCTTGAATGTATGAGGAAGAAAAAGGTCAATTATTTTATGTTGCTCATCCATAATAACAATGAATACTTTTATAATAAAGAGATGAACTGGTGAACCCTTTGATTTAATGATTTCAGAACTGAATATTTCATGGATGTAAAATAACAATTTTATAACTGTTTCCAAGACAAGGTATTCCATGAAAATGTACTGTCTCTGTAACCCCTGAACCATTTTCTTAACCTCTTGGATATAACTGCACATTTGAGAGTAAGGGAGAATGTGTCTGCCACAGAGGCAAGGGGTGAGAAGGGGCGGCAGTGGCAGGAGGGATACTGGGAATATTGGTGGTAGAGAATGGGCACTGGTGGAGGGATGGGTACTTGAACATTGTATGACTGAAACATAAGTCTGTAACTATATCTCACGATGATTCATTGAAGTAAATTTTTTTAAATTTAAAAAATACAAAAAACCCTGCATATTTCAATTCTAGTGAATATATTGAAGATCTTAAAGATGACTATAAATTTCCCTTATTTTTATTGATATAATAATTCTTAAGAACTTTCAACATTATTATACCAAGAATAAGAGCTATTGACTTTAGTCAGTTGCTTCTTCAACTTCCTTTGCAGAAGGGCATGCACTGAGAAAAAAATATTCTTTCTTTAGTCTTCTGCCCCAAAGGAAAACACAAAGCACATAAAAAAGCATGCACAAATAACACTTTGGAGGGGAAAAAATTTGGTAAATTGAAAACCAAACAGTACACGACCCAGAAAACCGAATTTCACAAACCCTTGGTAATGATATTTAGTAACTTCCAGTTTCCTATCCTCTTAAAAGATGAACTGAGTCACATTAAAATATCTTGAGAGTTTATTTGAGCAAGCATCATTTCATCCATGCAACACAAAACTAAACTGGTGAAAGGCAATACACCGTTAGGAACAAGGAGAAAGACTTTGAGGGGGTGCTTTCAATTAGTGCTTAGGAGACCTGTGGATCCCACTCAAAATACAAAATCATCCATAGGCAAGTTTTGTGCCTTTAACTCTGAACTATTTCTTTGATCCCCAAGAGAAAGGTGAAGACTTTTATAAAGGCAGAAGCAAAGCAAGGAGAGTTTGGCTATAACTAAAGGGGTTGTATAATTGGTTGTGATTTGTTGAGATTAGATTTTGACTTCTTTTTTTGTTTGTTTGTTTTTTCCTTTTCTTTCTTTTTGGACCATATCTAGCAGTGCTTAGCGGTCTACTCCCAGCTTTGTGCTTAGGGTCACTCCTGCCAGTGTTTAGGGAACTGTATGTCATACCAGGAATTTAAATGGAGTTAGTTGCATGCATGCAAATGCCTTAACCCATGTACTATCACTCTGGCCCTAGCTTTGACTTCTTTACCAGAAGGTGCTTTAAGTTTAAATTTTGGTTTGCTATTGTAGACCAACAGGCAATAGAGCTACTTTAGCCACATGGCCTCCTTGTGTACTTAGTTGGTTTTCAGCTTCAGCTTTCCTGCCAGATGGATTGTCAGTTACTCTCTATGCCTTCTGTACATAATCCATTCTCTCAATTGATATTTGAATATTTATTATATGCGTGGTGGTATTCTATGAGTCTGTAACAGTTTAATCAGCAATTACTAATCTTTTACTCCTAACCTCATCTTTTACTTTTTGACATATTCTTGTAAGCTTATTTCTGCTTCTGTTGTAATTAATTGAGGAGATGATATGAGAAATATTTTATAAGAGTGCAGCCAATTCTTGGTCTCTCTATCTATTGCATATATGCATGATTTTGGCCAAACTTCTAAGTAGCAACTACTTGGGCTAAGTATGCATGGCATAATTGAGTGTTTCTAATCCACTAAACTGATTAATGATAAAGTTTATCTAACACATTTTGTGATGCAAAAGTTATTATTGACTATTATAATTGGGTATCTTTGGCAAGTAGTTCATGTAGATGACTAGTCAACATCACTAGTAAATAAACACAAATACACTACAGTCTGTTTGTAAAAAAAAGACTAGAAGGAACTGAAAATTGTAGAAGGCTTTTGTTTTGTGTTCCTCATAAATTTTAGGACTCAAATTATAAAATAAATTAACTGTAACAATAAAAAGTAATGTTATTTGGAGTATGAAAGGAGTCTAGCATTGAGTGAGGTATAGAATATAATTACCATATGTAATCCTCATAACATTATTCTGTAATTGTAACATATCAGATAATGTATAATATATGGAAAAATGTAATTCTGTATACTAGCACATAATAAGATGGGTGCCAGAATATTGAGAAATATCTGCCAACTGACCTAAAATGGGATTTGAATTTAGGGCTCTGTGACCTGTTTACTACTGTTATCATGCCTCTGAATATGTCTTCTTTGTGCTAAAGATTTTTGCTCCAGCATGGCATACCCTCAGACTAATTATTCCCAAGAGGTCTCTGTTCTCCTCCTTCTCTTCCCCATGTGGAATAATGGGGTATTTGGCCCATCAGGTTAAATAGGTGATTATTTGGGGTGAGAAATGAGAACTACTGAATGTGTGATTGCAACAGTATAAGCATGAGTCTCTGTCTTGTCTCACTCCTTTTCTCCCTAAGAACTCCTAGAATGACCATCACAAGAGATAAAAAGCTTGCAAAGCCAAAGTCAGCAAGTTATTGAGCTCAAACTTCTATTTAGATCATTACAGAGTCAGCTAGGTCAGAAAACTATGAATCATAAGTAGAATCTAGCCGTTTGTCGGTCACTGTCACTGTCCTCCTGTTGTTCATCGATTTGCTTGAGCGGTCCCAGTAACATTGTGAGACTTGTTACTGTGTTTGGCATAATGAATACATCACGGGGAGCTTGCCAGACTTTGCGGGTGAGAAACTCTTGATAGCTTGCTGGGCTCTCTGAGAGGGGAGGAGGAATTGAACTCCAGTCAGCCATGTTGGCTGTGTGCAGGGCAAGCACCCTACCCTCTGTGCTATCGCTCCAGCCCTTAGCCTTTTGTCTGTATCTGTATAAAAAAATTAATTGGAAAATAGTCCCAGTGATTTATATGTTGTCCATGGCTGCTATTTGCAATTCATAACAGAGTTGAGTAGCTGGTTTAGAGCCCATAATTATTCACTATCAGGCCCTTTACAAAAAATGTTGTTGACTCGTGATCTGGGGCATTTGGAAGGCTCTGCCAGGTAGGAAGACCATTGGTACAAGCATTATTCATATAAGTTAAGCCACAGATACTGTTTATTTTGTTCACCTTAGCGTTTCCTGGACTGGAGCAATAGCACAGTCGTAGGGTGTCTGCCTTGCACGCAGCCGGCCCGGCCAAGCCGGGTTCAATTCCTCCGCCCCTCTCAGAGAACCTGGCAAGCTACTCAGAGTATCTCACCCCCACGGCAAAGCCTGGCAAGCTATCCGTGATGTATTCAACGTGCCAAACACAGTAACAACAAGTCTCACGATGGTTCGAGCAAATCAATGAACAACGGGAGGACAGTGACAGTGACTCTTTCCTGAGTGTGGGACCTCACTGCTTTTTTTTTTTTTAATCACCATTGCTATTATTTACATGAATGAGACTGAATGACACCTTTGTAAATATTCTCATTTAATCTTCATAACAATCTGGTTAGGTGTTTACTGTCATCATCCGTGTATTATTGACAGGGAAATTGGGGTTTAAAAGATTGAATAAATTGCTTGAGGGAGGAACTATGGCTGGTCATAATTAAGGAAAAGGAACTAACAAATAAGAAAAATATTTGGGGGCTGGAACAGTAGCACAGTGGGTAGGGTATTTGCCTTGCATGCAGCTGACTTGGGTTCAATTCCCAGCATCCCATATGGTCCCCGAAGCACTGACAGGAGTAATTCCTGAGTGCATGAGCCAGGAGTAACCCCTGTGCATTGCCAGGTCTGACCCAAAAAGAAAAAGAAAAAAAGAAAAATATTTGTACCTAAGCATAGAATTGGGAATCTAGAGATCAGAAAAGAGGAGCCTGACCTGCACGGAACTGCTGTATGGAATGGGGAGGTGACTGAAGAGAGAAGGAGGTGATGAGGAAGTTATGAGAAATTGCAAATCTAGCTACAAGGAAGAAAGGGATCAGGGAAGTATAGTCTGAGGTATTTTGCTCTTTTATATTATTACCAGTAAGAAGAATTTGGCCCATGGAAACAAGTACAGACTAGGATAATTTTATTACAGGAAAAAGACTACATATGTGCAGGAGTCAATCTTTGCAAATAAATTTAGTCTCTAGTAGATGGAAGTGAATGAAGTATATCCTCCAAGTAAATCATCAAGTAAATCATATGACTACGGCTAATTCACTGGTTGCAAAACAGGAGTCATGTGCTTCTTCTAGAGACCAATGAAAGAGATTGCTGCTTCTTTTCTTCTTCTTTATGAAATAAACTGATTAGGAAAATGAGTCCTATTGAATAAGGATATCTTGTCCTGCTTAGGGAGCCTTCTCTTAGGGAACCTAGCTACTTCCTCTGCATACATCCTGCAAAAGATGAGTCTGGACCTAGACAAAGTTGTTAGTCAAGATCCAGGTATTAGATATTGTTCTCCCACTTAACGAAAGGCAACACAAAAAGGATAAGTTAAGTAAACTCCATATATCTCTTTCCTCTTCTCTGAAAGCATTTAAGGAGGTAATATAGGCAATGCATTTAGAAATATTTCTTATGGTTATTGCTTTTTTTAGCAGTTTAGTAGTGGTGTTGATAGTTATCTAATAACTAGAATACTAGTAGTAGTGATATAACAGTTAGAGTTATAACAGGCCAATATAGCATGAACTATATCAATCAGGGCATTCAAGCCCAATACATCAAGATCCTCTGTGAGCTGTATTGCGGATTCACTACCAGGATCTCACCATTCTACAAAGAAGTGATCGTTGATGTCAAGAGAGGGGTGCGGCAGGGTGATACCATTTCACCGAAACTCTTCAGTGCCACCCTCGAGAACATCATGCGACGACTGGAATGGGAAGGAATGGGAGTGAAGATAGATGGTTGGCAACTACACCACCTCCGTTTTGCTGATGACATTGTTTTAATAACACCAAACATCAGCCAAGCGGCACAAATGCTGGCCGACTTTGACTGTGAGTGTGGAAAGGTAGGACTAACAGCTGAATCTTACGAAGACAATGTTTATGAGAAACAGCCTCGTTCCTGATGCCCCATTCGCTCTCAACGGAACGACCATCTCCGAATGCAACAGCTATGTGTACCTAGGTCGAGAAGTCAACATGACAAATGACCTGGCACCCGAGCTGCGCAGGAGGAAGAGAGCGGCTTGGTACGCCTTCAAGAACGTCGAAGAAATAGCTAAGAGGACGAAGAACCTCCGGCTCCGGGCACATCTCTTTGATTCCACTGTTCTTCCTGCATTAACATATGCCTCAGAGACCTGGGCCCTACACAAACAGGATGAGAACGCTCTTCAGGTCTCCCAAAGAGGAATTGAAAGAGCTATGCTTGGAATATCACGTTTCACTCAAATGAGAGAAAGAATCCGGAGTTCCGACCTCCATCGACGATCAAGAATCAGGGACACTGTCTCATTTGCCAAGGTGTCAAAAATCAGATGGGCTGGTCACGTAATGAGATTTAAAGACGATCGCTGGACTAGAGCTGTTACCGACTGGATTCCACGGGATGTCAAAAGACCGCGTGGCCGCCCACCTACCAGATGGTCAGACTTCTTCATCAAGATCATGAACGATCGGTTTGAGGCTCTTCATGTTCCCAGATGCCATTGGGCTACACTAGCACGCGACAGGGACAAATGGAGACGTTACTGGCGCCCGCTCGAGCAAATCGACAACTAACGGGAAGTTAAGTGATTAAGTGATTAAGTGATAGCATGAACAAATTTTAGGATAGTCAAACTAACCATGATGTCTTTGTTGTTTCAGTGATCCTCTAGGAAAACCTTTATAAGATCATTTACACAGCAAATCACATGATCATATAACAGTTCTAGACCACTTGTGCTTATATATGTCCTGGCTTATACTCTTACTCATTTAAAAACATGCTGAACTGAAAAAATAGTACAGTGGGCAGGGTGCTTGCCTTGCACACAGCCGACTCTGGTTCAATCTACAATACCTCATACGATCCCTAACCCCTGGCAGGAGAGATCTTTGAGCATAGGACTGGGAGTAAGCCCTAGACACTGCTGGGTGTCCAAAAAACAAAACAAAAATTTTATTTTTGTAGTAAAGTGATTCTTAGTTCAAAATACTATAGTCTTTTAAATCACAATAGAAAAATGCTTCACAGAACAAAAACTGCCAACTGTTTCTAGAATTTTTTGCTTTCAAACTCCCATCAAAAACTGTTTCTGAGACATCTCTTATTTCACACAGAAAGGTCAAAGGATAATTATGAAAGCATATAGAAATGATGTTAATCTCTCTTTTTTTCCCCAGATTTTCCTCAGTGTTATAGTAGGAGCTTTAAATCTTGGCAATGCATCTTCTTGTTTGGAAGCTTTTGCAACTGGGCGTGCAGCAGCCACCAGCATTTTTGAGACAATAGACCGGGTATGTACAAGTGAACAGTCAAGACAAATAAGAGCAGGGATGGGGAAGAATATAGCCATGAGAAACTTACCCTCAATGTTAAAAATATGAAGAACCAGAAGAATACTTTTAATTCAGATATACTTAGTAAGTGCTTTCACAGCCCTTATTTTAGCAATATTTAATAAGTGCTATTATGATTCCTTAGTTCAGCAATAATTAATGCTATCGTGAATCTGATGAGATGAAATAATTGGGAGTGCAAGGGGAAAACAGGACAAATAAGGCCTCTGCTCTCACTTATACCTGAGTAGCAGTCAACATTGAAGTTAGTACAGGGCTATAGAGAGAGCCTCAAAGGGCTTGTACACATGCTTCGCATACAAGAGGCATGGTTGTTACTCAGCACCACATCATCTCCCAACACAGATGGAGTGAACCCTGAGCTCTAAAATGGGAATAGCCCCTGAGCACTGCTAGCTGTATCCCTTCCCCCCCCCAAACAAAACAAACAAAAAATTCAAAAATAATCCTAGTAATTAAAAATCTTTTTCAAAGGTAATATCAGAAACTGCTAAGTATAATAAAAAGTAAAGTAAAGTAAAGGCCCTCCCGTTGATCGTCGATTTGCTCAAGCGGGCCCAGTAACGTCTCCATTGGAGACTTTGTTGTTACTGTGTCTGGCATATCGAATACTCTCGGTAGCTTGCCGGGCTCTCCGAGAGGGGCGGAGGAATCGAACTCGGGTCGGCCATGTTGGCCGCTTGTAAGGCGAACGCCCTACCCGCTGTGCTATCGCTCCAGCTAAGTATAATAAAGGAAATAAAAATAGATCAAAGTGATAGTTACTAGGATGGAGGAAGGAGACCTTAAGTTGGGAGTAAAGGAGACCAGATCTCTGAAGAGGTGATGGTTGAGCTGAGAATCAGAGGTGGTCAGGACTGCCAAGGAGCCTGGGGAGAGAGTGGTATATAGAAGTGGAGCCAAGAAGGTATTCAACGAAGAGATAATCTTCAGGCTGAAAGCGACTTGGTGAATTCAAGGTTAGTGTGACTGAAATGAGTGAGCAAGCAACAGAGGCTGAAGGGAACAGAAGGAAGGAATTGGATCATGAGGACATTAAGGCCCAGTCCAAAGCATCCATTTGTCTTCTAAATGTAACAAAGTCTCTACCAGCTTGAAAAGGGACCCTTGTGGTCTGGTTAGAATTTTCTTAGCGAATCTGTTGAAGTACATTTGAAAGTCATACTTTAAAGAGTCAAAATCCAAAAATGAAGTGGAAAGATGATGAGATGTTATTCTTCCTCTCTGAAAAATATCCTGGGCTCAGTCAAAATCTAGAAACTCAGAGATTCTTTTGATTTCCCCCTAAATTAAAACCATTTTGTTGTTAAACTATGAAGTTGCATTATGAGTATAACTGTACATCATTGTTGTGTGTTTTCATTTTTTTGAGGTTTTATATATTGAGGTATAGAATGGAGAAAATCATATAGAAATGCCATTATCCAAATGCAATATTATTGGGGTATCAAAATAAGATGATGAGTCTAATAGACTCTTGAAACTATTATAAAACATTATAGCATTTAGGCCAAGAAGCGATAGCACAGTGGTAGGGTGTTTGCCTTGCAAGCTGCCAGCCCAACCGAGCCGTGTTCAATTCCTCTGTCCCTCTTGGAGAGCCCGGCAAGCTACCGAGAATATCCCACCCGCATGGCAGAGCCTGGCAAGCTCCCCGTGGCATGCTCGATATGCCAAGCACAGTAACAACAAGTCTCATGATGGAGACGTTACTGGGCTCGCTCGAGCAAATCAACGAACAATGGGAGGATAGTGCTACAGTGCTACAGCATTTAGAAATTATTTTATTATCTTTGCTAGAGACCCAAGATAAAGAAAACAGATTATACTGTATCTCTCAAGTAGTGGTATGATGACAAATTTCTCTCCCTAGTGAAGAGCTCATAACTAGAGTGTCATGGAACAGTTAAGTTTGCAGTATTAAAGGTAGTTAGCTGTTATGATTTTCTGCAATATATACTCAAATATAGAATAATATTGAAACCCAGTTTATTTGACTAGTTGTGTAACTTTGACAAGATACTGAACCTTCATGAGACGCCCTCTCTAGTTCCCCAAGTGAAAAAATGGGAATATCACCTATCTAGTTAGGTTATAATGCTAATTATATAAACTTAAAAAGCATAATAAAATACTTTGTACATTGTCTTCTGCAGTATTTCACTAATATGTAATATTAATATTAATGTATAATTGCCATAAGTCATCTTATATTGTTTTCTAAATAGTAATAATATTAACATGTCAAATAAATATCAATACTAATTGTACCAATTAAGTTAAATTGTTGTGATTGTAATACATATCAAATACAAAATAAACAACAGAAACTTTGTACTAATTTTAATTATAGATTAGTTATGTTTAGTAACACATTAATATGTACAATATGATGCATAATTCCATTAATATGTAACAATATATTAACTCATTACTATATCATTAATCACAGAACTTATTATTAATATTAATATATTTAAAGGGGAAGCAACTAATCTTTATAATATCTCTACAATGTATCTGGAGGTTATTATATTTAATGAGTAAATTCAAAAGAGTTTATCATTGCATTTTATAGTACATATGATTGCTGTGTTCTTTTATATCCCACTCCAGAAACCCATCATCGACTGCATGTCAGAAGATGGTTACAAGTTGGATCGAATTAAGGGTGAAATTGAATTCCATAATGTGACTTTTCACTATCCTTCCAGACCTGATGTGAAGGTAAATGCCAACGTTTTCCCCAGAAACAATGACATTTCTTCTTCAATGAGTCACTTCCAGTAACAAATTAGTAGTTTTATTTACGTATGACTCAGTTTCCAGGAACAAGGAATAGGCACAATTTCCCTGGAAGTGTCCTCAGGTATCGTGCCCTGCTCTGTCATTACTCAGACAACAGACTTCATTCCTTTGTGATATCCATTGTGAGTAAATCCCTCTGGCGGCAATGCTGTTCTGCAGCTCATTCAGGCTAAGTCAACTGTGTGATGTGCTGTTGCAATGAATAGTATGTTCTGTCACTGTAAACACAGCTTCAATAAGTTTTGAGGTAACCAGAACAATCAAGTACAGCTTTATCAAACACCTCCTTAGGAACAGCAGAAGGTGGAGCACATTGTGTATGTAGAGTGTGACATGGCAAAGGAAATCTGTCATCTTTATAGGCTTTATTTCCCAACTGTAAGGATCAGTGGATCAGTTGGGAAAAACATAAACTTGTGATATCATGCTCACATGTATTCTAGAAGGTGTTTGTTCAGGGCACATAGTGAAGAAAACGTCATTTTCTGATACTACTAAGCAAACAAGAGCAATATAAATGATCTATTCCCACAGGATGAATTGCCTTTGAAATGAGATTTATTTTTACTTTGTAAGAGTATTTCTAACCATATTTGATATTTTGGTTATTCTCACAAATCTAAATCCAATGAAATTTAATTCTGATTCTATACAGAACATTCATAATATATTTAAAAGTGCTTGTGAAATATAAACTACTCTCAGTACTCAGTAAAGATTTTCCAAAGAATGACTAAATGCTTTTATAGTGCCTATTAAAAAATACTGTTAAAATTAAAACACATGTACTTCTACTTTACCTTCTATTTCTAATTGTGGTTTGTTTAATCACTATATCACTGTCATCCTGTTGTTCATTGATTTCCTCGGGCAGGCACCAGTAATGTCTCCTTCGTCCTAGGCCTGAGATTTTAGAAAGTGCCATATTTGAGGCTTTTTCAGGGTCAGGGGAATGAGACCCATCATTGTTACTGGGTTTTGGCATATCGAATACGCTAGACTCTGCCGCGTGGGCAGGATACTCTCAGTAGCCTGCCAGGTTCTCCAAGAGTAAAAACTAAATAATAAGAGGTCGTGTGGCCACATTTGCTGCCGCACGTTTCTGGGAGCTAGGTTTTATAGTGTCTGGGTCTTGGCCGTTAATGGGATAACACAGTGCTGGGGGCAGTTGGTGGGTGTAACATCTACCTACTGGAAGATGGGGGATCTCGGTCAAGGAGGCCAAGTCCCTATTGGAGCAGGCTTGGAGATCTCAGCCCCAGGTCCCATATGCTTGGGTTCCTCTGCCGGTTCCTTCATGCGTGAGGCTCGTCCAAACGTGTGGAGAGTGGTCTTAGGCATGGCTGTGTCTGGTTCCAGAGGTCTTTGGCTGCCGGGGCTCTGCTCGGGGTGGGAAGGGAAACTCAACCAGCCCCCTCTGTGGGGCCTCGGTGAGGACAGTTAGGCACAGGGGCAGGAGACTCTGTGCTGTTCTCTTCCGGGAGCTGGGTTTTATAGTTTAATTGTTTAATAAAATAGTTTTTTTGTTTAATAAAATCATTATATTTATATCTGTAAATGTTCTTTATTTATACCACAAGTATGTGTTTATCATTGATGCCATATGGTACTCAGGCTATAATCAGAAAAAGTATATTCAATTCCTCTGTGTTCTGGGGGATATTACAGAACAATATAGTTCAGAAAGGTAGAAATATATTTTGCAAGCCTGACACTAATGTGAAATCAGAAAACCTATTTTATGACACAGAGCACCCCAAACAGCCTTTACAAATTAAGTACAAAAATCATCATTGAATTGGTGAAAACATCTAATCTGTGGTTATGAATTACCTTCTTGCTCTTCCCTTTCAGTCTCTACCTTTAATGATGCTTTGTGCTTAGCAAATGTAATACAAACATCTATCAGGTAAAGTAACTGAAATAATATTTCCCTACATAATGCAAGTATAAAACATGTTAAAATTTATTGATTAATTGACTGATAATCCATCACAAGTTATTAGTATTGTATTTTAATTTAACAGCTTCCTTCCCTTCATAATTGGGAATTATTAAGGAAAGGCATCCTTGTATGTCAGAAGTGTTTTAGGAGCTAGAGAGATAGTACAGTAGGCAAGTTACTTGTCATGTATGAGGCTGACTTCGGTTCAAATCCTGGAATACTATATGGTCTCACCTGCCCCACCAGGAGTGATCTCTGAGAAAAAAGGCAGGAATAATCTCTGAGCACCAGCAGGTGTGGTCAAAAAAGAAAAAAATGGGGGTAAAAGTGTTTTAAATTAAATACTAGAATGTCGTTTTAAAAGTTGGCAGGGTGATCTTCACAACATGGCAACCTAGCCAGATTCTGACATTTGTCTCTCTTAACAAAATATGCAAAAACATTGCATTTTTACTGAAGTTAATTGCTTTGATAAGAGACAGAAGAATGGGGAATGAGGGCTGATGCAAGAGGGTGTGATGGAAGACAAGTAAGAGGGGAGGAAAAGTCAGAGCACAGTTCTGTCAGGAGCATTCTTGGGATTTCTGTGATTAAGAAAGGACCTATCCTTTTTGCACTTGACATAATCTAAATAGCAAATTCTAAAAGCTTCTCTGAAAAATTATTAGAAAGAGTAGATCAATATAGCAAAGAGGCAGTCTAAAAAGTTAATAAACGAAAATTGTGTATTTTCGTAAGCAAACAACAAATAGAAGAAAAATAAATCAAGAAAACTATGTTTCAAAAAGAATTAGTACTGGGAATAAACATAAATAAGATGAACAATTTCATTGTAAGACATGCACTGTAGCACTGTCCTACCATTGATCATCGATTTGCTCAAGCAGGCTCTAGTAACGTCTCCATTGTGAGACTTGTTGTTACTGTGTTTGGCATATCGAATACGTCACAAGGAGTTTGCCAGGTTCTGCCCTGTGGGAGGGATACTCTTGTTAGCTTGCCCAGCTCTCTGAGAGGGACAAAGGAATCGAACCTGGATCGGCCACATGCAAGGCAAAATAGATGTAGAATAACAACTAAGTGATCCTGACCAGTGGTGACTTTGGAGACTTGACTGCAAATGCAAAACTTAGTAAGTGAGAACATACTGTATCACTGTATCACTGTCATTCCATTATTCTTCAACTTACTTGAGCGAGCACCAGTAATGTCTTCATTCGTCCCAGCCCTGAGATTTTAGTAGCCTCTCCTTACTGTCTTTCCCAACATATTGGAAACTCTTTCAGGGTCAGGGGAATGAGACCTGTTATACTGTTTTTGGCATATCGAATACGCCATGGCTAACTTGCCAGGCTCTGCAGTAAGATCACATAAAGACCTTCTGCACAATGAAGAAACTAATGCTAAAAAAAAGTCTCTTGCATGAGAGAAATTGTTATATATTCTACATTTGATAAGATATCCAAGGTGTATAAAAGACTCATAAAACTCAATAAATAAGCAAATTACCCCTTGTGAAATGGGTGGAAGAACTCAGTAGACACTTATGCAAAGACATAGAAATTGTCACAGTTCTATAAAAAAGGCACATTTTCTCTTGTTAGGGAAATTGTAAATCAGAATAATGAGCTATTATCGTGTGTCTGTAAGATAGCCTATATCACAAAGATAAAAAATAACTCTTGGTGATGATGTACAAAAACAAAAAAGGAACTCTCACACATTGTTAGTGGAAATGTAAACTGTTTCAATCTCTGGAATAAATCTTTTTATGGAAATTTATCAGGATGATAATACTAGACTTACCATACTTTCCAGTAATTTCACTATAAAGTAACTGAAGAATCTAAAGAATCCAAAAATACCCATTCCAACAGACATTTGTACTTCCCTGTTTATTGAAGCATTAATTTACAATAGCCAGGCTGTGAAAACAAACGAAGGGCCCAGTGACACATGAGTGAAGATATATAGACACACACAATATACTACTCAAGTATAAGAAAAGATGAAATCAGGGCCAAAGACAGTAGAGCATTTGCCTTGCACCAGGTCAACCTAGGTTCAATTCTTGGTACCCCAGAGGATTGCACAAGCCTCCCATGAGTAATTCCTGAGTGAAGAACCAAGAGTAACCCCCTGAGAATGGCCAGATGTATTTTTTAAAAAAAGCCAATCAACCAAAAAAGATGAAATTTTATCATTTACAAATGGATGGAATTAGCAGTCATCAAGCAAGCAAAATTAATCAGAAGAAGAAAGTCAAATGGATGAGTTCACTTATATGTGGAATATAAAATTACAAATAAAGAAAATAAAACAGACCAATTCCAAACTGTATTTGAACCAGAGGACTCAGGTTGCCAGAGCAGGAGGACATAGGGGACACAAAGGGTGAAGAGATCTAGTAGACAGTGGTGCAGGGTTATTACACTTGGGTGGAGGTATTGTAAAAAAGAACTCCTGAAACATGTATGAGACATAAACCAAAATTATCTTACTGAAAAATGAATAGCAAGACAAAACAAAAATTAGCAAGGTTTATAATCATTTTCTTTGTTGGCCATACCTATCATCACCTGTCATCAGTTAAATTATGTGATCCTTAAAGTAAATAAATTTTCAAAGTAAACAAAGAAATAAAGTAAAAACAAAGTAAAAACTGAAATATGTAAAATAAAAATAAATTAAAATGTGACTAAAGTAATGTAAATAGTTAAATATTCAAGTAATGTGCTAAGAGCAAAAACCTCATCCTAAGGTACTAATTTTCTAGTTATTAATAACTGTCCACAGGTATCACTTGGGGACATTAGTGAACATAACCAATGGTATCTCACAATTCCCAACTTGTAGTCTGATTGCTGGCCATGTGAACAGTATTCTCTTTTTTTCTCTGCAGATTTTAAATAACCTCAGTATGGTCATTAAATCTGGGGAAATGACAGCTGTGGTAGGATCCAGTGGAGCCGGGAAAAGCACAGCACTGCAGCTCATTCAGCGATTCTATGACCCCAGTAAAGGCATGGTGCGTGTCTAGCCAGAACCTCTCAGTTCACACTCAGTAGGAGAGTGAAGAGAAATATCATTTTAACAGACTTCACATACGCTGGGACAATCCTGATACACTCAGAGTTGATTTTATGAGTTTTGACTGAATTGACTGAACTGATTCCTCACATGGATATGATGAATAACGAGTCAGTTTGCTTGTGATAAACTGAATGTGCTGCTACATTCCCAAAGATATTTTGCTGCCTATTCTATGAACCAACACTTTCATTGCTTTCTTTGTGTTTTAACAAGTTGTTACTGTTTTTGTTTCCTAAATTTCTCCAAACAGTTAGCATATGATCTCTTACATGGTTGTAATTAACAGATGACTTGATTATTGCTTTGATGAGTTATCATTTTACAAAGTACTTAGTCTTTTTTCCATATATCTATTTTACAAAAATATAGATTTAAATTAAGAAAATTAATAATAATTATTTCTGTTTAAGCATTGTATATTGCATATCAAATACTTTTTAAAAAACATTGCTTATTTTTAAATTGACCCCTAAAGGTAAATATGCTCATTTTTACAAATGAGAAAACCACGGGTCAGAGATATTGAAACTTGCTGCAGGCATTCAGTGCATTTTTTTCCAAAGTAAGTTTTATTTGCCTATTGTATGTATGGTTCCAAATCCTTTTGGGGAGCAAAATGTTATTTAATGAATTGGATCAATAGGTCATATTTACTATAAGATATATCAAGATAGGGGTCATTGGTTTTTGTAGTACAAAGGTACTTTCCCTGTATGTCTTGGAGATTAAGGATTTTCTAATTCCAAATTTCTGGTCAAAATTAAAAGATAATAAAATATCAAATCATAGTTAATTATGAACTCTACTTTTTATTGAGAAATTAAAATACTCTATTCCTGAGACAATAATGTTGTTTAGTGACTTTTTTTTTTGAAAGGGTGGTTTGTGGCTATACCTGGCTGTAGTCAGAGCTTACTCCTGGTTCTGCACTTGGGGCTCATACCCAGTAGAGCTCAGGGCAGCATTTGGGATAACAAGGTTGAATCTAAGTGAGCCATATGCAATGTCGGTTAAGTGTCTTAACTCCTACACCATCTCTCCAGTCCCACATTAAGTGACCTTTATGTATAATATCTAATTTGTATTTCTAATACCTAATTTGTATTTCTATAATTAATTTGTCCTGCAGTTGTTTCAATGATATTTTTTTGTTCTTATATAGATGGCCACATTATAAGAAGGATAATTTTTCTTGCAATCTTATTGGTCTCTCTTTTTCTCCCCATAAGTCAAATGCAGTATAATGAATATGATAAGTAAGAAATACAAAATATTACAAGAGTTATTGTATTTTTCTCCTATTCTCTAGGTAACTTTAGATGGCCATGACATTCGTTCTCTTAATATCCAGTGGCTTAGAGCACAGATTGGGATAGTGGAGCAAGAGCCAGTTCTGTTTTCCACCACCATTGCAGAAAATATACGCTATGGGAGAGAAGATGCAACCATAGAAGATATAGTTTGTGCTGCGAAGGCAGCCAATGCCTATAACTTCATCATGGACCTTCCACAGGTAACCCTAAGAAAAAGAGTGACTTGATAATATACCTTTTTTCCCCCGCTGAAGTTCTAACCCATTAAAATTTTAATGTCATGATTTGGTTTCTGTTTGGAAATACTTATGTATAATAAGTTTTCTGCTTTGTTTGAAAAGTATTATTAGTATAATGTCTATATATGTAAAATCTACATCAAACGAGGGAACTTTCTCTTTTTCCTTCTATTTTAAACTTTGTCATTTGAGAATAGCTTGTACAAATGTTCTTTTGATATCTACAATGTAATTTTTTTAGGGTTGGGGTGTGTGGGTGTGTGTGGGTGTGGTATATGTATCTGCTTATTATTTACCATGGTAACCTCAGTTCTGTATATCAGATATTCAAAAATCACTCACATACCTTCTTTGTTTTGTCTTTGTTTTGGCGCCACACCCAGTAGTGTCAGGATGTACTCCTGGCTCTAGTCTTAGTGGTCACTTTTGGTGAGACTCTGGGGACCAAATGTTCTAATCTATGTTGGCCTCATGCAAAGCAAGCACTGTAACTGCTGTATTATTTTTTACTCCAGTCCTAGACTTTTACTGTTTTGGTTGTTGTTTGGGGGCCACACCTGAAAGTGGTCAGGGCTTACTCTCTTTTCTTCTCCTCTTTTATTCTTTTTTCTTGAATTACCATGAGATAGTTACATAGCTTTCGTGATTGAGTTTCATCATACAATGATTGAACACCCATCCCTCCACCACTGTACATTTTCCACCAGCTATGTTCCCAGTATCTCTCCCACCATCCCCACCTCACCCCGCCCCCTGCCTCCAGGGCTTACTTTAGATTCTGTACTCAGGGATCACTCGTAGAAAGGCTCAAGGGACCTTACCAGGTGCTGGGGATCAAGCCTGGGTTGGCTGTGTGCAAAGCAAGAGCCCTATATGCTGTCCTATCTCTCCGACTCCTTGTTACCTTCATTCTAGACAAAGACAGAAAGAAATTAGCAACTTTGTTTAATCATGCTATTATGGATGTTGTAGCTAATGGCCTGCTAAGTAAAAAAAGAGTTATAGCGCTACTGGTTAACATACATAGAATTGCTACACATCAGTCACTGCTCTAAGGATATTTTGATTCATTTTGCACTCCCACCTTCCCTGCCAACCATTTTATCATGAGGGTACAGTAAGTTTCCCTATCTGTAGAAGGAAAGCTGAAGTCAAGGTCAAGATTATATAGCAAATAAGTAGGAAAATCAGACCCAGTTATCTAGAATACTTCCTATTTAGTCTTATTTATTGTATGGATAAGATTTCAACTGTGAATTAGATTTAGTTTCATCTATGAAATAAGGCAATTAGTTAAGGCATAATTAAAGAGTATGAAGTTTTAGAATCAGACTGCTGCATACAAATTCCTGCATCTCCACTTGCAAGCTTTTTGAATGTAGACATTAATCCCTTATAGTTAGCATTTCCTCATGTGATGTATTACTTACATCACTTGCAGAAGAATAAATGAGATGCTATGTACAAAGAACTCAGCACTAAACTTTATATATTACAAGTATTCAACTCAGTGGCTAACAATTAAGGTTCTCTGACATTAATGCATTGTGAGATCCCAATGTAGTGTCAGACATTCAAGATAGTAACTATTTGCTGTCCATGGTAATGAGTATGAAGCTAATATGATCTTGCAATCTAAATTAAAAGGCAGTACTGGGTTTTTCTGTTATCTGATTACAGAAAAGAAACAAGGCCTTGATCTGTGCTCTAATCCTTTAAAATGGACTTTTAGGATTTAGATTAACTTCTACATTGGTAGAAACATTTTATTTGAAGTGAGTTAAAGAGAAATATAGCAGTTTAGTGAACCTGGAAATAAAAGAAATAATCAGTTTAACCCCCACATAAATATTGAGTAGACAATAACATATTTCAGGCAAGGATTTTTTTTTTCAGTTAACCAACATTTAATTCTTGAACCCAGCTGTAGAAAGCAAATCACTTCACAATGCTTTTTCAGCATGTCTGATTTGGGGGGGGGGGGTAAACTCTAAATAATAGTGGTGAATCTTTTATTGAAACAGTGAATCTAATCAAAGCAGATAGAGTGTTAACTAGAATTCATCTGCCTCACAGGGACTGGGAGGGGTGGGGTTTTATTGGGATTCTTCATGGTAAAAAATAAGTATTGGTAAAGGGAAATGTGTTTGATATTTGCATGACTGAGACCTAAACCTGAAAGCTTTGTAACCTTTCCCACGGTGATTCAATAAATAAATTAAAAAAAAAAAAGTTAGATCTGGGAAAATTCATCCCTGAGGAAGAAGTTAGAAAGGACTTGTTAATAAATCACTGTTATGAGCATTGAATTCTTCTTTTGATTACTGGTGTTACCTTTTTTCCTAGAAATTTGACACTCTTGTTGGAGAAGGAGGAGGCCAAATGAGTGGTGGCCAGAAACAGAGAATAGCCATTGCTCGGGCCCTTGTCCGAAACCCCAAGATCTTGCTTTTGGACATGGCCACCTCAGCGCTCGACAATGAGAGTGAAGCTATGGTACAAGAGGCACTGAGTAAGGTTTGTGGAAAGTCTAAATTCATTTTACAGACCCATGTAGAAACTCGTTTTTTCTCCAATTCCTTCCTTTTTTTTTTTTTTGTTGCAAAGATTCAAAGTCACAAACACTTTAGTTGAGGCATAGAATATCCTAAACTGGTGCTACAAGCATGTGGCAGTTTTAGGAATATGCTACTATGTGGCAATTTCCATTCTGCTGTTGTAGGACACAGTTGAGAGAAAGAGAGAAATGCTACATAGTTTATTTCATCTCATCTAATTGCTTAGAAAATATTGACTACAGCTTCCTGGTAGTTGAACAAGGGCAGTTATAATTTGCTTCCCAAAGCTGCACATATAAAATGTTTTAATTTTGTTGGTTATAATTTTAATATTTGATTAAATTTTTTCTTTTATTTTCTTAATAAATTGATGGCAGCAACAAGGTGAATGTGTGATGGTATTTATGGCTTTGAGAATGTGTGCTGATATTTGTAATGTCTGTCTACACAGCCTATTTAAGGATTTTACCAGGAACTAAGGCTCTGATTTCCTTGTGGATTCTGGGATGATCCAAAGGACACTGTCAGCTGTCTAATAGTCCTGTTTAACAAAGTACCACATGTTCTTCCAGATCCAACATGGGCATACAATCATCTCAGTCTCTCATCGCCTCTCCACCGTCAGAGCTGCAGATGTCATTATTGGTTTTGAACATGGTACAGCAGTGGAAAGAGGCACCCATGAAGAACTCTTGGAAAGGAAAGGAGTTTACTTTACTCTAGTGACTTTACAAAGCCAAGGAGATTCAGCTCTTAACAAAGAGGATGTAAAGGGCAAGTGTTTTTTCCATTGTGTTTGTACATTTATGTTAGTTAACATACGAAATGCTTTATCAACCTCTATGCATTTTTAATGCACATTGTTTTATTTGTTTTTCCAACAATTCTGGGAGGTATTAAAGAGTTGATAAAAGAAACAACAGAAGTTCAGGGTTTTACTTCCTTGATCAGGTCAAAATCTAAAATTCAGGTCTTCAAATTTCATCGACTATTTCTTCCTGCACCACCAAATACTCTGCAAAGAGGAGAAGCTTCTTTGGGAGGCCTTTACTCAGAAGGAGTTCTTATAGTTGAATAAACTACTCAATGACTAAAGTTTTATGCTAATTTTCATCGCTGCAGTGAAAATAGAGTACTAGTATCCTTTTTGTTTCAATATAGATCTGGTGTCACATTCCAACTACTTGCCATTTACTCCATACTCTCTGTACAATATCAATTCTAGGCTTGTAAACTCCATTGGATATAACTACTATATATAATTAATATGCAATTTATGGCTGGAGTGATAGCACAGCGGTAGGATGTTTGCCTTGCGCGCAGCCAGCCTGGCTGAGCTGGGTTTGATTCCTCTACCCCTCTCGGAGAGCCTGGCAAGCTACTGAGAGTATTCAATATGCCAAACACAGTAACAAGAAGTCTCACAATGGAGACATTACTGGGCCTGCTCGAGCAAATCAATGAACAACAGGAGGACAGTGTTTGTTTATTTTATTCTGAAAATAATTTCACATTTTTATTCAACTCTCACCTTTTGAAACTTCTATTTGGGCTTTCCTTAAAGTTTTTAATGATTCATGCTACAGGATGTCTATTTCTGTGAAGATAAAAAACATATAGGCTGGGGCTGGAGCAGTAGCACAGCAGGTACAGCGTTTGCCTTGCATGTGGCTAACCTGGATTCAATTCCCAGCATCCCATATGGTCCCCTGAGCACCGCCAGGGATAATTCCTGAGTGCAGAGCCAGGAGTAACCCCTGTGCATCGCTGGGTGTGATCCCCCCCTCCCCAAATAAAACATAGGTTATCCTGCTAAGTATTTTGAAACTTTTTGGTAGAATGACCTAGACAAGTGTTGTTTCCTTTATTGCAATGTAGTTAATAGGATGTTTAAGCAATGGCCATTATAATGATATTCTAGCCAAACTTAGCAACTGGTTTTGTTTTAACATGATTCTGCTTATTTTGTATACTAAGAAATTCCTTATGTTCTGTTGTATAGGAAAAGATGAAACAGAAGAGTCTGGACTTGAGAGCAGGAAGAACTTTAGCAGAGGGAGCTACCGAGATAGTTTAAGGTAAACTCAAGTCATGGGGTGGATTTGAGTTTTAACATATTTTTTGCTGGAGAGTCTCTCCAGTACAGTAGATAAGGTATTTACCTTGCATCTAGCCAAATGGTTTCAATCCCCAGCACCACACCTAATCTCCCGAAGTCAGTCAGGAGTGATCCCTGAGCTGAAAGTCCTGAGCACAGTTGCATGTTGCCCAAAAACTAAAAGGAAAATAAGGAAAAAAGAAAAAGAAACCAAACTACCCAACAAATAGACAAAAAGAAAAAATAGTTCTTCTTGGATGTTCTCTGCAGATATAATCCTTAGGTAACATCTCAGATGCAAGAAGAGCCTGAAGCATTGCCCTGGGTCTTGTATAATATAAACATGCAAATAAATCGTTGCTTTCTCTTTCTATTCCATGGGTGAATTCTTGTGGGAACGTGGGCATCTGTGGTTTGTTGCAGTCCTGTATCCTGTGCTTGCATGCTTTTTATAAAAGTTGTCAATGTTGGAATTTCTGAAATAAAACTGTTTTATTGATGATAGGATCCTGATAGACCTGCTTTATAGTAAAAATGGTGTTTACTGAGCTGAAAAAAAGGGAATTAAAAAGTGTCTGGATTTAGTCTTTCCCTCTGTACTAACTGTCATATGAAACACTCTTTTAGAGGTCAAATTAATGCCGTTTATCAATTCCCTTTAGTTGTTGTGCTGCAAATGAATTACAAATATTTCTGCTCACAGAATAATCCAATGCAAGTAAAAGAATGTCTTAGCTAAATGGAATAAAAATATACTGTCTAGTAATTAAGTAAAATTTTTTTTACATAAGCTATTTCTTTTTCTCTGCAACAATATACGGGTTCTTACTTTGAAAACACTTTTGATCCATGGATATACCTCTATGGCAGAGCATTTGCCTTGCATATATGAGGCCGTAGGGTCAATCTCTTGCACCACAAAAAATAAAACCAAAATATTTTTGGATTATGCTACATGTGAGATTAAATTTTAGTTTTTCATTTTAGTCTTGGGCTGGAGCAATAGCACAGCAGGTAGGGCTATTGCCTTGCATGCAGCCCACACAGCCGACCCAGGTTCAATTCCTCCGCCCCTCTTGGAGAGCTCAGCAAGCTATGGAGAGTATCTCGCCCGCACAGCGAAGCCTGGCAAGCTACCCATGGCATATCCGATATGCCAAACACAGTAACAACAAGTCTCACGATGGAGACATTACTGGGCCCGCTCAAGCAAATCAATGAACAACAGGAGGACAGTGCAGTGCAGTGTATTTTAGTCTTAAGAGTTTCTATAAAATGATTCCATTAAATATTAAAAATGCATGTATAACTAGATTTACTTTGGTTACAGCTGTTTAATTTATACATGTGTATTATGTACAAAACTTTCTGTATCAAATCAATATTTTATATGTTTGAAATTAATATAAGGCTATATCTCAAATATGCCTCAATGAGATTAATATTTTTTAACTCTGTATCAAGAAAAATTCTTTATAGAAGTAATTCTATCTATGAGTTTTATTTGTAAAAAATTCAAGGGTTTGTTTTCTTTATATGAGGAGACGTTAGTCAATTGGTTGACAACATATTTCTCTATCATTATCCATACAATTTCTAGGACAGTTAATCAATGATGGTTCTGGACAAAAGTTCAATTGTAGGACTTGCTCATTCAAGATCATTTATTGCTTACTAAAAGGTGGTTGAAGAGGCTTAAAACATTTGTGCAGTAATTTCAAATATTTCAAACTATGAACTTCAAAAAAGAGTTTGCTGAATTTATGCTTAGGTGGTTTTTCTAAATATGTTTTTTTCAGAAAAAAAACATTGTTTTGTTTGTAGGTCACACTTGGCTCTTTTCAGGGATTACCCCTGATTCCGAAACTCAGGGACCACTCTGGTGGGCTTGGGGGACCACCTGGGGTTCCAGGAATTGAATTGGGCTTGATAAAATGTAAGACGAACATCCACCAGCTGTACTATATCTCTGGCTCCTCTATTCAAAAGAATTATAAGAAATGTATACTTTTAAATTTGGAAAACAACAAAGCAATATCTTCAAGCTACCCTATAAAGTTGCAGCTTTGAAAATTGTCAAAATTATTTGAATTTTTAATAGACATTTGGCATTTTACCATGCTTAATAAGAAAGGATAATGAAATAGAAATACTAGTTGATACAGATACCAATAAAATTCTTAAGCCCAGAGAATGATGAGGCATCTTTTTTCTCACTGTTATTGTTTTTATTGTAAATAGGTGTCGTACCCACTGTTGATCTGTGCTTGACCAGATGGTACTCAAGGGTCACATGGGACCACACCTTGTGGTGTTGGAGGTTGGGACATGCAGTTCCAGGGATCGAATTCTGGGCCTTGAACATACTAGGCATGGGCTTTACCAAGTGAACTATCATCTCACCCCATAGAGGATTCTTTTGGTCACTAGGATAAAGCTAGCAAAAAGGAGATATATCTTGTGACCATATCAACAAGAATATAATTATTTTTAAAACCTTCAGATGAATAATTTATCCATTATGAGTAGCTTACTCAGTTATTTTTAGAACAAGATAATCATTTTTAATATAAATGTTTTCTCTTTGGTTAATAGTACAAATTCTATATTTAAGTGAATAGGAAAAGAATTCAGAAATATAATCTATGCACAGAAAGTAGCTATTAACCTCCTGCAGAGAAAGATTTTTAAGTTTGAATAACAAGATCTGTTATAAATATCCTGATGTATAATACTGACAGATCTTTTTTTCTTTTTTGCTGAAAGATGACTAAATAAAATGTTAATTTACATCTTACTTCCTTAACTTTGTCTTTCTGGTGGCTATGTCCTCTTTTAGGTTCAAAAGTGATTTAATAATAACTATAATTAAAGTAAATAACATCTAAGTAATAATATTTAGAGAGAAAGAGGAAGAGAGAACATTTATTTCTCAAGTCAGATCTTTTTATTTGCACTGGCAAATGGTACACAGTTTCTAAGATAGGGAGGAACTGATATTTGTTTTTGAAAGAGTTGTGATGGAATTCTTACTCTGGTATTAGGATTGACTTGCTGGTTGGGCACCTGCCTAAAACCATTACTACTGTAGTTTTATTGGGTCAGTCTATGCTAAACATATGGAATGTGTGTGTGTGTCTGTGTGTCTGTGTGTGAGTGTGTGTGTATGTGTGTGTGTGTTCAGCGAGTGGAGAGGGGTAGTGGATGAGAGGGAGATCAGAGGGGGGAAAGAGAAGAAAAAAGGAAAGTGAAGGAAAAGAAAGGAGAGGGAGGAAATAAATTTAAGATGAAAGTAGCAGAAATCTGAGGAGACTGGGATATAGGACTTGGAAAACTATATTTCAATTCTATATCCCATGTTTAGAACTGGGAGGAAATCAACCAACTTTTGACAACTTTGACAACTTCTCCTTTTCCACATCTACATCCAGTATTTTGAGTTTCCTTGCTAGGCACAGTACCTTAAAAATCTCAGTACTCCCCTTGATCTTTCTTGCTGATGCAGACCTAATCTCTACACCTTCTGGATAAGATATTTTCACCTTAGTTACCTAATAGAGAAATGACTCTATTACTGTAGCATTTCAGCTAGGTGGGAGGAAACTAAAATGTCCCAGAGGTCAGTAGCTGGGAGTAAAGCTAAAGACTGACTTCATACCTTGTCATAATGACACTTGGCAAGAGTTTGAGTACAAGAACAAGGAAGAGGGAAAAGAAGATAAATGGACCCGGGTGTTATAGTTGGGTGACTAAGGAGATGGCAGTGTCATTAACAGTATGCGCAATAAAATAGAGTGATGAGCTTAATGTGCTACTAACTTCTAAACAAGGACAGATAATCACATATTACAGGCAGGCATTATCTTGGTATTTTGAAAAATATCACCTGAATGCCAATGGCAGGACTTTATGAATGAATTAGAATGCATTCGTAGTGCATTCGCCGGAATGCACTAGAACTGAATGCACTAAGACAGTTGATGTACATCTTCTCATCTTTACAACCTCTTTCTTGATCCCATACTACTTCAGATTAGGTGCTTTGATAATGTCACTTTCTTCTTTGCAAGTCTTCAGTTTTGCTTCTCTTGCTTAAAGCACATTACTAAAAACCTAACCGAACCTGATTTAATCTTTAAAGGAAAAAAAATATTCATGTACAAATAAAGCTTTAAGGAAGTTCCATTTTCAAATAAAGCAGGATTTCAGATGGTCCAAAAGAGATACAGTTTCTTTCTATTCCTTTTGCAGCTCTACTTTTGCTTTTTAAAAAATTCCAGTAGAACTTTATTTATAAACGTTGATGGGAGGTCAAATTTGGCCTACAGGCTGTGGTTTATTGACCTCTACCGATATTTCAAAATGGTGAAGATTGAGCTCTTGGTGTCACAATAAATTCATCAGATTATTTGGTGATAAGCAAAGTTTAGGAAATAGGCAAAAATGCAGATTCATGTGCTCTCCTTATAATGGTATTAAGTATGAGGAACATTGTATCTTTCAAACAACCACTAGGCGTTTGTAGTCAGGACTAGCTTGGCAGCGCCATTCATTAGCTCTACTTTTGGTTCCAGTATTGGCTTCATACATCAGGAAGTATATTTCCTTGAGGAAAATTTTCTTCCAATTACCAGCAGTTTCTCATGTCGCTCACTTTCAAGTTTCACTTAAAGCAAAGTAGAAGTTACTTTCTAGAAATTACATGAATAAACCCCAAACAATCTGAACCAATTACTTCCTTCGTCTGACTTTTACTAAATATATAACATCTCTCTCTCACTCTTCTCTCTTCATCTTTCTGTTTACACTGTTCTTCCAATAAAAATCTCTTCTCTCTTCCTTTTATTCTACAAATACCCAAATCCTACCTTAGCTACCCCTTTCTTGAGGCCTCTCCTAATAACATCTGCCATGCTGTTCTTTGTCTTTTAAATTTCTGTACTTTCTTCTAACCTGCCTAAGAGTACTTACCACACTTTCTCTTTCACCTGGGTTGCATATTTATGTTAGTCTTCCATAACATATTAAGTTTCTTGAGGTAAATATGTGATGCAGCTGGCTTTGGATTTTCATGCTATAGGTGCTCAAAAAGCCTGCTTTGAATGAATGAATGAATGAATGAATATTTCCAACTGAATTATCTTCCACAAAGCCATTTGCTACCTAATAGCATTTCTAGGCATGTTGTATGACTTAACATTTTTAAGACATCCTCATCATTTCTAGCCACATCTTAAAATAACATCATTAAAATAACAAAAGTAAAAATCAAAACTATAAGCCAAAGCCTAAACTCAGTACCAATAAGCAAAAACATGTTGATTTGGAATGAAGTGTGTGTGTGTGTGTGTGTGTGTGTGTGTGTGTGTGTGACCATTGCTCTCAATCTTTTTCTCCATCTTTGGCCAGTCTCTGGATCAGAGGCTAGCTATGGCCCAGAGAAATCAACATGGTTACTCTATCCTAAGAACAGCTCTGTCAGATTGAATCAGGAAACCCTTCTTCCTGGTTACCATATGACCTACTAAGTATTTGTTTATTCAATATGTATTATGTAAACTTACACACCTATTAAATCCTGTTCCAATCCACTCACAGACTCTTGCATTTTTCTCTTTATTTACAGAGCTTCCCTCCGGCAACGCTCCAAATCTCAACTTTCATACCTGGTGCAGGAATCACAGTCAGCTATTGAAGAAGACAGAAAGGTCAGACACAATGACTTATGGGAGAATGTAAAAAGTCTCTTTCGAGAACTATTGCAAACCTGAACATATAAGTTGTCAGGCTTCATTTAGGAATGTTTGGTTGTCAGATTAAAATTTTAAAAACCTATTAAGACCAGATAAAACTATTTTTCAAGCATTTTATTTATATATACATTTATCTATTGACTGAGGTTCTGTGATTTACAACACTGTTAATGATAGCCTCCCATGCACAAAATTCCAACATCACACTCATCACCAGTGTACCCACTTCCCTCTCTCAAGGACCCTATCACCCCTCCCTTTCACCACACACCCCAAACCCAATCTTGTTAAACAATATTTTAAAGGAATTGCAGAGTATTTTAAAAAATACATGGGTGCTAAACCTGGGCTACTGGGGTCTATTTAATAGCATTCAAATGAACTCTTTAATATTCACAGAGATATTGCATGTACTAAGTGGACTTTTAGATTCAATGTATCTTTTTAAAAGTTTTTAATAAGACCTGAAAACATTTCTCTCATTTTTTAAAATCTTCTAAATTAAACCTAGGCAAAAGCTTTTGATCAGCACAAGCATTTGTTAGGGTTACTTACCTCTTATAAGAACTATTATAATTTTTTAATTAATTAAGGCCAAGTAGGTTTTATGGACATTTGTTCACTTCACACAATTTTAGAGTAATTATTTTAACGTGAGCTTAAAATGCCTTTTTCTTCTTCTTTTATTTTAATGCAATGTTTTATTTGGGCTTTAACCAAAATATCAACTTGAAATTTCATTTTATAAAGGACTTTTTAAAAAAAGTTTAACCTTGTTTTATTGTATTTTATCTATATTTTAGGCAGCATGATTTATAAAAATGTTTTTGACGAGGTTTCATGCATTCAATGTTATAACATTAGTCCCCACCAGAGTGTCTGCATCCCTCCACCATTATCTCAAGGAAACTCTCAACCTCCACCCCCGATCTGCACCCACCTCTCTCTCTCACACACACACACACACACACACACACACACACACACACACACACCCCTTCAATTCACATCCATCTCTCTATTCTCCTTCATGGTAACTTCAGTTCTGTAGACCAGTTTTCAGGTTCTGTTGCCTTTAGCCAGTTGTTATCCCCTTATATCCCTCTCCTTCTGACTAACTTCACCCAGTGTGATACAGATTCATCCATGTAGTGAGAAAATGGCATGTTTTTATCTTTTCTTATAGTCGAGTATTTATTCTGGAGCAATAGCACAGCAGAAGGGCGTTTGCCTTACACGCAGCCAGCCCAGCCAAGCTGGGTTCGATTCCTTCACCCCTCTCAGAGAGCCTGGCAAGCTACCTAGAGTATCTCGCCCACACGGCAAAGCCTGGCAAGCTCCCCATGACGTATTCAATATGCCAAACACAGTAACAGCAAGTCTCAAAAAATGGAGATGTTACTGGGCCTGCTTGAGCAAATTGATAAATAATGGGAGGACAGTGTTTGACAGTGTTTGTATGTATACCATGGTTTCTATATCCATTCACATGATCTCCAAATTTTAATCATTACACTTCATTCTTTGATTTTAATAATCACCCTCTTTTTCAATCTATTTTGTAGTGAACAATAAGACTTCATCTTTTCTCATATTGCTCCTGGGACTGGAGCGATAACACAGCGGGTAGGGCGTTCACCTTACAAGCAGCCAACATGGCCGACCCGAGTTCGATTCCTCCGCCCCTCTCGGAGAGCCCGGCAAGCTACCGAGAGTATTCGATATGCCAGACACAGTAACAACAAAGTCTCCAATGGAGACGTTACTGGGCCCGCTCGAGCAAATCGACGATCAACCTTACCTTTACCTTTTCTCATAAGTCCATAACATGCCGGGTTGGAGCGATAGCACAGCGGGTAGGGCATTTGCCTTCCACGCAGCCATCCTGGGTTTGATTCCTCCACCCCTCTCAGAGAGCCCTGTAAACTACCAAGAGTATCTCACCCACCCAGTAAAGCCTGGCAAGCTCCCTATGACCTATTTGATAGACTAAACACAGTAACAAGAAGTCTCACAATGGAGATGTTACTGGGCCTGCTCAAGCAAATAGATGAACAAAAGGAGTGCAGTGCTACATAACATGCCATTGTGTATAAATGCCTTTTTTACCTACTTCTTGGTTATTGAACACTCGGATTGTTTCCAGATCTTGGCTATTGCAAATAATCCTGTAATAAATGTGGGAGTGTAAATATCTTTTCAAATTAATGTTTTTAAGCTCTTGGAGTGCCAAAAAGTAGAATTACTGGGTAATATGAAAACTCAATGTTTTATTTTGTATGTGTTTTTATAAAATTATTTAATGACTAAATATTTTTAATCAATGATTCAATATTAATATGTGTTTAAATAATATTTGTTACCAAGAAGATAATTGAGCTGATCAATTATATAAATTAAGTTTAAATGTGAATATCATAGAGCTAGCACAAATTAACAGAAATTAATATGAGCATGTCAATACATTAGCATCAATAAGGTCCAAATAATTAATGATAATAATTTACACATAATGGTAAAAAATGCTAAACAAACAAAAAAAAACCACGGTCCTTCTGTTATTCATCGATTTGCTCAAGCGGGCCCAGTAACCTCTCCATTGTGAGACTTCTTGTTACTGTATTTGGCATATTGAATACTCTCAGTAGTATGCCAGGCTCTCCGAGAGGGGCAGAGGAATTAAACCCAGCTCATCCGGGATGGCGCGCAAGGCAAATGCCCTACCACTGTGCTACCATTTGATTTATAATTGATGACCAATAAGAATATAATTCATGACTGACCCCTTAACTCATGAGTGTTAGGTTAGGAGAGACCCCTACCTTCTCTCTTCACACCAAATACAGCCACGCAAACTCAATTTCAAATTGGGTAAAGGGGCTTTGGCTATTCCTTAGTGGAAGTTCAATGAAATTTTTTGAAAATTAATTTCTGACAGTGCTGAGGGACTACAAGGTAATGCTTCCATTTTAACCATATTTTTGCCAATACCTGCTATTACCAGTATTTTTGATGTGTGCCATTCTTACCAGTGTGTGGTGGTATCTCAAATCAAAATACATTTTTATTTGTATTTCCCTGATGATAAGTGATGAGCAGCATTTCTTCGTGTGTCTGTTGGCCATCTGTATGTCTTCTTGACTGTCTGTTCCTCTACTCTCACCATTTTTCGATGAGCTGTTATTTTGTTGTTAAGTTCTGCAAGTGGTTTGTGAATCTTGGATATTAGCCTTTTGTCAGAATGGTGGAGTGAATATTTTCTGCTATTCTTTTATTCTCATGCAGAAACGTTTTAGCTTGATTTAGTCCTATTTACCTTTGCTTCTTTTTCTTAGTTAAGAGCATTGAATCTTTGAAGATACCTCTGAAGGAAATATTGTGGAGAATCCCATTATGCTTTCCTATATGTCACTGTCACTGTCACTGTCCTCCCGTTGTTCGTTGATTTGCTCAAGCGGGCCCAGTAACATTGTGAGACTTGTTACTGTGTTTAGCATATCGAGTATGTCATGGGTAGCTTTCCATGCTTTGCTGTGCGGGCGAAATACTCTCGGTAGCTTGCTGGGCTCTCCGAGAGGGGCGGAGGAATTGAACTTGGGTCGGCCGTGTTGGCCACATGCAAGGCAAACGCCCTACCTGCTGTGCTATTGCTCCAGCCCTTCCTATATGTACTTTATGGAATCGTGTTAAATATCAAGATCTTTAGCCCATTTTCAATTTGTCTTTTCTTTATTTTTTCTTTAATTTTTAAATTTTTTAAAAATTTTATTGAATCACCTTGAGAAAGTTACAAGCTTTCATGTTTGGGTGACAATCACGCAATGATCAAACACCCATCCCTCCCCAGCCACCAATCTCCCCAAATATCCAGGAATTTTTTTTTTCATGTGGCTAACAAAATATTCCAATACCATTTATTGATGAGACTTTCCTTATCCCACTTCATGAACCTAGGTTTATGAAGGGCATAAAACCTTTGCTATGTTGAGGAAATTTCCTTCTATTTTATTTTGAGAGTTTTTATTATAAATGGGAGTTGGATCTTGTCAAAAGTCATCTTGTTTGCATATTATATGTATCAAAATCCATTTTGAAATGTTCATATAATTTTATCTTGCCTTGCATTTATGTTGGTGTATCACATTAGTTGACCTGCATATATTAAATTATACTTGTATCCCCGGGATAGATCCCAACTGAGCATGTGTCTAATCTTTTTAATGTATTATCAAAATTTAGTTCACATTTTATTGTGAATTTTCATTTTGTTGAAAGTTTTTGCATCTGTGTTCAACAGAGTGGTTGATCTGTAATTTTCTTTTCTATGTGCCATCTCTGTCTACCCAGGGTAACTTTGAAAGATGTCACTTTATTTTCTCTCTGTAGATAAGGAAGCAAAAGAAAGAAGGGTGAAAAAACTGGCATGAGAGGCAATGTGAATTTGATAAAGCTCTAAGAAGAAAATAACTATGATTACATTAATGCTTCCCATTTGTATGATAATAATATTAGTCTTTCAGATTTCAAGAATTAAGTTTCTTTTTAAAGTATATAAAAGGTTGATGTTAATAAAATTTAAATTATGGACTTTATAACCCTAAACAACATTTTAAACTATTTCAAACACTTGCAGTATGCTGTTCTAAAGTAAATTTTTAAACTTTTTTTTTTTGGCTTTTTGGGTCACACTCAGTAATTACTTCTGACAGTGCACAGGGGACCAGATGGGATGCCAAGGATTGAACCCAGGTCAGCTGCATGCAAGGCAAATGCCCTACCCACAGTACTATTTCTCCTGTCCCTTTAAACATTTTAATATTTATTAAAAATCTTCAAGCTCCAAGCACAGGCAGCATCCTTCCTTTTACTCAAAAAAGGTGAAGACTTTTTTTTTTATTTCTCCATTTATTCATGAGAATTTTGTTGCAGTGCAGAAGGTTTAGTTACATAAAGGAATTATCTCCACCTTGTGGTTCCTCATGTTTTGACTCTGAAAACTTGCAAGAGATGGTAAAAAGTGTCTGTGTCTCTAAACTGTAAGTGGGGTGATTGACCTAAGTCTCATAGTTGCCTTGTGTAAGAGTTAAGATCACAGTTAGGTCTCCTCATCCTCCAATTTATGTTCGTGGCAACCTGGAATGAGCTACATCTTAGTAATTCTGATACAATTCTATTTAGGATAATAGAAAACAGTGCAGGAAAGTTTCCAGTCTCGTGGCATCTTTTAGGATAGTAAAAAAGCAAGGTAGAGTTTATGTGAGATCCAGTGAAGATTAAGTGTTAGAAGTACATTACTTCATCACAGTTAATTTCTGTGATAAGGTTTAAACATTAAGAGATAGACCTCTTCTATAACTTCAATGGGACTTTACATAGTACCTATAAAAATAATTTTATTTACATGGATACTCTCTGTTCCTTTATCATAATATCCTGATATTTTCCTCTATAGTAAATTGTCAGATTGGCCTGCTGCAATTTTGTGGATGTTAACAGAAAACATCAGAAATGGGGATACATGAGACACAGAAGAATTAATACTAAAGGGCAGCATTTGCTCTGGTTCCTCAGTCCAGTCCTAATGATCTAGATATCATTTCCATGCCCTGGAGCTAGTTATTATACAAATTCCTATAAAGTCTAAACAAAAAATATACATCTACACATACATCTACAAAATACTAAATGTATTTTATTCAATACATCTAGTCACAAATGTGTGGAACAAAGCACAAGATATTCAGAGAGAACAGTTTCCCACCAAACAACTTAGTCAAACTCTTATTTGAGGATGAGGTTACAGGAGCAGAGAGCTGAAGTGCTTTGTGCTATCTTCCAGGGATGACACTTTGAGACTCATTCAAGAATCCCCTTTCTCTCTGCACTTGTTCTACTCATGCTTTCACAGGTACATGTTTTCCTGTCTGGTATTGATAGTCTAGAATTAGTAAGTTGTCAGGGATAAAATACTTGATGAGAAGGATTTGCTGCCTGACTGAGTAGTAATGACAAGTATAAATACTCCAGGCCAAGAAATAGAGGCAATAACAAATGTATCATCAGCCAAGAAATATTTTTACATTCTATTTGGCTTGTGATAATAATTATGTTGGTAAGGTGTAGGTTTTAATTTAAAGTTAATCATAGGGGGGCCAGAGCAACAGTACTGTGGGTAGTGCATTTGACTTGCACAGGGAATACCAGGGCTCAATTCCCAGCATCCCATATGGTCCCCTGAGCACCGCTAGATGTAATGCACCGCTGAGTGCAGAGCAAGGAGTAACCCCTCATCATTGCCAGGTGTAACCTAAAAAAGGTAAAATTAAATAAACAAATAAATAACGTTAATTGTGGGGGTAGGGAGGTAGCTTTATAATCTAGTATCTACTTTGCATGTAGGAAGATCTGGATTCAATTCCTGACACTCTGCCCCCCCTACCATGCCCAAAAAATAGAACAAAGTAAAACACTCAGCAAATTTTAATTGGTAACATCCTTCTTGTAAGTAAAAGAAAAGAATTTTACATTCTTTGCTGCTGTCTAACTCTGACATTGAGTTACTAAAGCTGAATAAGATGCTCATGTTTAAATAAAAGATAGAGTTAAGAAATATTTTAGTCAATTTATTCTAAGTTTCGGATATTTAACTAAAAAGAGAAAAAAATCAATGCATAACTATATAAATCACCTAAAATCATTCTCAAAATGGAAAATAAATTGAACATGTTATTGTATACATTAACATGATGACTAGACACTGAGTGTTAGCTATCACAAGGATAAATGATGGTAGAAATTATAAGGTTCTGACTACAGTATTTACCTTCAAGAGGATAAAATGTTTCTAGAGCTGGTACTTTAATACCAAGTTTGAAATGAAAATAATAGAATACTTAAAAAATTTTCACTCATTGTGAAGAAAACATAGAATTTAGAAGTCTAAGTAGATTATCCTCTGTTTCTGGGTTCCTGCAGAAGAAAACATATTTTAAAAGAGGTAAATAACAATAATGATACCATTTAAAATTTTAAATAAATTTTTAAAAATTTAAAATTCATCTTGTTTTATTTCAAGTGCACTGGTCTACCTTCAAGTTTCCATCAGTTACTAGATTACTGAGCTCTGATGTTTATGAAAGTCATATCTAAAATAGTTCACATGTCCAAACTGGAGAGATAGTACAGTAGATAAGGCATTTGTTTTGCATGTGTCTGACCTAGGTTCAATCTCCAGTACCACATATAGTTCCCTGAGTACCTACAGGAGTGATCCTGAGCACAGAGTCAGGAATAAGCCTTGAGGGGCATGGTCAAGTGTGTTCCCCAAATAAAACAAAGCAAAACAAAAACAATAAAAACAAACAAAAATTCATTCATCTCAAATATGCAAACACTAGAACACAAAATAGTATTGTTGCTTTTTATAGAAGGGTTACTTTTTTTTAACTCCTACATATTTATTATTCCCTCGGTGTTAGTATATATTCAATGGTGAAATGTGAATAATAAACTCACCATCAGATGCCTATTCTGCTAGACTCACAATATGGTATTAAGCTATTCATAGTCACTCCTCGCAAAATTAACAAGTCACCTCATCTCATATATCAGAAAGCTTATAAACATCCAAACCATGATGCATAGATATATGTATATCAAAGGTTCTTCTGTTTTCATAATGCCCAAAAGTACAGAGAGAGAGTATGGGGAATATTGTCTGCCATGGAGGCAGGGGGAGCACCGGTGGGAAAGGGGGGTATACCGTGGATATTGGTGGTGGGGAATGTGCACTGGTGGAGGGATGGTTGTTTGATCATTGTGTGGTTGTAACCCAAACATGAAAGCTTGTAACTACCTCACGGCGATTCAATAAATTTTTTTTAAAAAGGTTCTCCTGTTTGGTAGTCTATGCAATATACCCATGTACACAGTTTGGGGTGATTTATTATAACCTCTTTCCCCTCAAGGAAAAGAACATTCCTGAGGAAGAAGAAGTTGAACCTGCCCCAATCAGGAGGATTCTGAAATTCAACGCTCCAGAATGGCCCTACATGCTGGTGGGGTCTGTGGGAGCTGCTGTCAATGGATCTGTCACACCCCTTTATGCCTTTTTATTCAGCCAGATTCTTGGGGTAAGCAAACAGCTGGATTCACTTTATTCACTTCAGGCCTTTGCTTTTTCTCCTAGTGGAAATGATCTTTTTTGGTATGTTGAGTCTTTGTGTCAATGTCTTTAGCACTTTCCCCCTCACTTATAAAGAATTAAAACTGCCTTAAGTCTCCATCACACAGAAGGTAGCATGATACCGAGCCGTCTCATGTGGGTGAGCAGGACTCTCATTTACCAGTCCTGTCTCAGGAAAACGCGGCACTGTGAATGCAAATGTACGGTTAGAAAGAGGGGAAGCTTAGCTATATGTAAGTCAAATAAGAATGCAAAGCAGCCCTGTTGAATAATATAAAAGGATTTTAGGGCATTTTTTTAAATCTTGCTGAATAGTGGGTGTACGAAGTTTGACTTATACAGCAGGTGTCAGTGCCTATTGTATCGTTCTGTTCAGCTGGTTTTCACCATTGAAACAGAGGAGTAGGGCAGAAATGGAGAAAAGAAAGGAGAAGTAAAAAGAAGGCATGGATAAAGAATAATCTTATTTTAATTTGTTACCGTCTAGGAGTTTTAATAACCTCCATTTTACCTCATTGCTGTAATAAAATAATTAAATTTTCAATACCATCTAAGTACTTCATATGTATTCATTAACTAAGCTTTCGTAATTGCCATTGGAGGCATATATTCTTATTGTTCTCTCTTCATAAGGGAACAAACTAAAGCCTAAGGAACTTAGGACAGCAAAAAAACTGCCCCGGGATTCAAATTTCAGACAGAAAAAAACTGCATGTTTTGGTATCAAGATGCTGTCACATTTTATCAGTTGAAATTTATACATAAAATCCCATCAGATGAACGTGAAGGAAACTTAGAATCTAGGGAACTCCAGTGACTTGTTCAAAGGTACCCAGACATTTGGTGTGTGGAACCAAAGCTAGAACTCAGTTTTTCAGAAATTGGCCTAAGGGATTTACTGCACACTTCAGTAGGAGTCTTGTTTTTGTTTCCTCCTCCCATTCTTTTTTGCAGTTTCTTTGGTAGTGAAAGGCCCCTGCAGGCATGAACTGTACAGAAAAACTGGATAGTCCACAAACCAAACAAGTTATTGTATGAGTAAGGACAGGCCTCCACTTCAATTTCACTCTGCCCCCATGTGGTCAGTGAGGAAACCATGCTAATTTCAGGGAAGTAGGACATTGTAAACAATAATCTTCAAGCCTGGGAAATTGAATTTCTGGTTATGTAAAGAACTTCATCCTGAAAATAGTTAAATTAAATCACATTCTTTAATTTCTAGTAAGTAAACACCCCTGAGAACAACAACATAAATGTTTAATCAAGGCAACAGATATTTGTTGTTTGTTCTCTGGCTATTATGTGAGGGACTTGGGAATGCACAACCAGTCCTGGTGTTTTCCATAATAGAATTCCAGTAAACAGAAAAATCCTATCATTCAAAAACTATTATTAAGAGCTCATTGTTTTCTAGATATGGCTGCTAATGATGGGGATAGATCAACAAACAAGAAAAGTGAAACCCCTTTCTTTCTCATAAACTGATATCCTGTGGGGAGAGACTTTGGAAACACATCTCCCTGAGTATTGATGAAGATGAAGAAGGTATAGGGAACAGAGTTGTATCCATAAAGCCCTGAAAGTGTGCCCTAGATGTTTGTTTTTAAAATAAATCCAAAATATCCATTTATTTGCTAATAATTTCTCTTTATCTCATAAAATCAGAGGAGGACACATCCAACTTCATCCTCTCCCTACATGATCTGCTATGGAATGAGTTCTGGGATTTCCCCTCAGGGTACTTTTCTCTCTGAAACTGGCTCTGCTAGTTAGTTATCATGTATTCTCTGCCCTGAGATTATTCCATGTCACTTCTCTGAGCTTGTGTTTCCTCAACTTCATATAAAATGAAGAAATGTCACAGATGACTTCTTAACAAGAGTTCAGCTCTCATGGGGTACTAAATGGCTATCAGAAAAGACTTGATAATTCAGCAGTAATATCCTGACTTCTTATTGGTTATGAGATATTCTCAGGTTATTCATTTGGTTATTGGTGATGAGAATTTCCTCTGGTTTCTTCTGGTCCCAACCAGCAGTTTGGGGAAGGACTTAGTTCAAGGCACTGAGCTTTTCACATAAGAGCTATAGGGAAAAGTAGTAGGGTTATAATTTTTTTCACTGAGTTATATTTGCTCAGAGAATGGTGCTAAACAAACTATACTGTTTTTTTCTGTCTAATGAGGAAGATTATTTTTGTTTGTTTTAGCATGTAGCACCATCCTACGGTTGTTCATTGATTTTCTCGAGCGGTCCCAGTAACGTCTCCATTGTGAGACTTGTTGTTACTGTGTTTGGCATACCGAATACATCACGGGTAGCTTGCCAGGCTTTGCCACGCGGGCGAGATACTCTCAGTAGCTTGCTGGGCTCTCCGAGAGGGGCGGAGGAATCAAACCCAGCTCAGCCATGCCAGGCCGGCCGTGCTCAAGGCAAATGCCCTACCCACTGTGCTATCACTCCATTGTTTTAGCATAATGATCACATACATATTCATTTAAAGACTTGTGATGCTTACTTTCATCTTATAAGGTATAATCATGAGTCAGATAATAGTCTGTTTTTAATTTCACTATTCCACTCTGACGTATTTAAAGGGCATAATATTCACATTTGGTCTATTGAGAGAACACATTGGAACATGGAACCAGCAAAATAATTGGATACTAGTAGGAGCCTGGTTGCTAATTTAGTCAAGTCAAAATACAAACAAAAGCATAATTTCTCTGATTCATCTTTTTTTGGTCTATGTGACTTGGAAAAAATGTGTAGAGTATTCCAAGCAATAAAAAACTGAGTGCTGCGTACTGGAAAAATATGTTTGTCAGTCCTAGATTTGTTAGATCTACTAGTTCTCTTGTGTATTTAAGCAAGCTTCTACTTGATGAGACTTACCTTCCTCATCTATAGTAGGGAGCAAGAAAATCTGCCTTGCTGGGTTATTTTAAGAATACTAACTTAGGAAAATCCTCATTTAAGTTAAAGTAGGTCAAATAACATATTTGGCATTTGGCAAATCGTAAGCATTTATTGAGTTTTTTTCCCTTAAACAATTAGCGATTGTGGAAATGGCACAGATGTATGCAAGAACTAAAGCTAATCTAAAAGGAGAGGGAACTAGGGACGGGTAACACTCAGGATTGCATAACAATGTGCCAAGAAATAAAAAAAAATTTTTTTGGAAAAAAGTCTAAATAGATATATGTCCAATTTGGAAATGGAAAGTTGTGTAGATTAATTGTGTAGATTAGTTGTGTAGATTAATTATTAACCCCATATTCTTTTCTAACCCTAAGAAGATGAATAATATCAAAAGCCAAGGAAGTCTTCCAGAAGAAAAAAACTGTACTAACATAAGAAAAACTGAAATTTCCTTTCCTAATACTAATCACTAGGAAAATTTATTTCTTCAGACTTGATGTTTGGGGCATTAGTTTTTCTCTATCAACTAAGAGTTAAATTGTATCACTTAAAGTTCTATAAGTCAAAATAATAATAATAGGGAAAATAATAGGAAAGAGTGGCCTTGTGGCATCGTGGTTAGGACTGGAGAGGATCCGTGTAGTGACTTTTAAAGCCATACTGAAATACAGACTTTTGTCCCTGAATTTCATTTTGTTTGGGGGCCACACCTACTGTGCTCAGGTCTTACTCCTAGCCTGTCAGGGCTCAGGGACATATGTGGTGCTGGGGATCAAACCTGGGTCGGCCATATGTAAGGCAAGAGCTTTATGTGCTGTACTTTCTGGCCCTAGTTAAATTAAATTAAATTAAATTAAATTAAATGATTTGTTTGTTTGGGGACCACACCTGGTAGTGTTCAGAGCTTAATCTTGGCTCTGCGCTCAGGGATTACTCCTGGAGTGGCTGAGACCCATGTGTGGTGCATGGGATCGAACAGGGTTTGTTGTGTGAAAGCAAACACCTCTATCCCCATACTGTTGTCCCAGACCAGTCCCTGAATTTTAAATGATATAAACATGTCAGTTATTTAATATTGTAAACATTAGGAAGAAAGACTGTGGACCTTTTGGATCCAGTTTAACAGTAAAGAACTAGAAAAACCTTAGAATCCCTTGTTTGAGAAGCAGCAAATCTCACTCACTCACAGTTTCTCCTGCAAGGACCTCAATTTGGAACTTGTGATCATTTGAGTGTTTGCTTTACAAAGGAAGATCTGATTCTGAATTTGTATATTGCTTCCAGGAGACTTGATGGCTTATAGAATATACTCAATAAATATGTTTTGAATATGCTTTGAACGTTTTCAATGTCAAATGAAATGGTTTTTGACATTGTTCTAGTTATTTAAATTCATTTGGAATCATACCTAAGGATTTGTTCCCAGCTCCTACTTGTCTACTTGTCTCTCTAGATTTCCCATTTAGTCCTAATTGGAAAAGTTTTGTTGTATATAAATTCCATTTTTACTGTACAATAGGACTTTACAATATGGAAATTTTTCTCATTGTCTTATTACAACAGCATGGTCCCCAGTTAGTTACCTGACCTGTTGTCTGAAAGTGCAGAGTACACTGAACTTGAGCAGAGTTTAATGGTTACTATAGTATCCCCTCACTATTTCAACAGTATTGGGGGGGTTATAGATTCTGATAATTTGGAGTCAGCAACATCAGTCTCAAAGAAATAGAAACTTATTTCTCTCCTAGGCCATTTAAAGCCAAGCCTTAATAACTCTTACCTCTTTAAAACTTTTTAAATTTTTGTTTGCTTATTTGTTTGTGTGGGGGCCATGCTTGGCTATGTTCAGGGCTTCCTTCTGGCTATGAGCTCCAAGATTTCTCCTGGTGGACTCTGGGGACCATATGGGGTGCTGGGGATCTTAGTGGGTGTGTGCTGTATTATCACTCCGGCCCCAGAGCTATTAAATTTTTAATAGTCTAGAAAACTATATTAGGTGATATTTGTGAAGATACCTCAGCCAAATAGGTAAGTCAAAAATTCTATAAATTATAACCACTTTTTCAAGACAAATGGTCTATGGTGGAAGCTTGCTCCAAGGGTTGGGGGAGAGGATTGTTAGGACAGAGAAGGGACGATCTTTTACAATAATTGTTGGAAGGGACTGCTCTGGATTGGAGACTGAAAGTATGCGAACGAACGATCAAACATGATGGCCTCTCAGGATCTGTATTGCAAGTGATAATGCCCAAAAGGGGGAGAGAGAGGAGAGGAGAGGAGAGGAGAGGAGAGGAGAGGAGAGGAGAGGAGAGGAGAGGAGAGGAGAGGAGAGGAGAGGAGAGGAGAGGGGGAGAGGAGACTGCCATAGAGGCAGGATGGCAGGGGGTGGCCGAAGGAATATGGGAGATATGGGAAATGTACACTGTGGAGGGATGGGTGTTGGAATATTGTGTGACTGAAACTCAATCATGAAAGCTTTGTAACTATATCACAGTGACATGGTGATTCAATTAAAAAATAAATAACTAAATAAAAAATATAAAGAAGTAACCACTTTTTTGCCAATTGTCCTTCCCCACAAGAGGTTAAAATACATACATTCAATAAAATAACATGAGACTAACACCCAAGGACAGTAGAAACAAGGGCCAGGAAAATTATTCCACGGTTGGAAGTCTGCCTCATGAGCTAGGGGAGAAGGCAGCTGGGATAGAGAAGGAATAACTAAGTAATGATGGTTGGAGATGTGTGCTAAAAGTAGACAAAAGACCAAAAGTGATGATCTCTCAGTATCTGTATTACAAACCATAATGACCAAAAAGGAGAGAGAGAGTAAGAAGGAAATTGTCTTTAATAGAGGCAGGGTTTGGAGTAGGGTGGGAGTGGCAAGAGGGATACTGGATAAATGTACTCTAGTGGAGGGATGGTTGTTTGATCATTGTATGACTGAAACTAATCTTGAAAGCTTTGTAACTGTATCTCATGGTGATTCAATAAAATTTTTTAAATATGCAAAATAACAATAGGTAAAATAGTCAATGAAAGAAAAAACATGTTATTTATGTCTATAATATTAAAAGTGAATTTAGAGTGACATATAACTGTGCTAAGTGGATTTTTCTTTGAAATTGTTTAAGTCTATAATAATAATAAAAAAACTATATTCCCCTGGGAAAAAAATACATACATTCAGAGTGCTCATTGGTTAAATTACTAGTGTTGAAAATTAAAATGATTTTAGTTCCATGAGTAAGAGAATTTTCTTTTCAAAATATTTATATTTATATCCTTTGTTATTATTTATAATAATCAAGTTATTTCTTGGTTACTGTCTTGCAAAGACTTTTTCACTTCCTGATAAAGAAGAACAAAGAACTCAGATCAATGGCGTATGCCTGCTCTTTGTAGCTATGGGCTTTGTTTCCCTCTGCACACAGTTTCTACAGGTAAGGAATTTTATTTTCAGTAAACGATTTTGTAACTCCTAACCTTTTCATGCAAAAAAAATGGTTAAAATCTGTTCGATATTTTAGGGGTATGCTTTTGCTAAATCTGGAGAGCTCCTCACAAAAAGGCTACGTAAATTTGGTTTCAGAGCAATTTTAGGGCAAGACGTTGGCTGGTTTGATGACTTCAGAAATAGCCCTGGAGCACTAACAACAAGGCTTGCTACAGATGCTTCCCAAGTCCAAGGGGTAAGTAATGGAAAAATAATAAGTTTATTTATTCCCTTCTTTCCTTTGAGCTTTCTGATCTTCACTGACCAACTTCCATTCATGGGCTTGGTATACCGCTGACTCACAGAACTCAGGAAAATAGTTTACTCTTATCCACTGGTTTGCTAGGAGGGAAGAAAGGCTCTGATCAATGATATAGATGATTTCAATGGAAAAGATGAGAAAGAAGAGGATATAAAAAAGAATATGTACCCCAGGGTCATTCACTTTGACTAAAATTCAAAGAAAAGCATCTATCATCTTTTAAAAATTATTTATCACTTAAAAAATATTTCCAAGAGTGGGGGCCAGAGATAGCACAGCAGGTAGGGTGCTTTCTTTGCACATGACTGATCCAGATTTGATCCTTAGCATCCTATATTATTCTCTTATCCCACCATGTATGATCCCTGAGTGCAGACTCAGGAGTAAGCCCTGCGCAAAAGTGGAAGTAGCCACCATTTTTTAAAAAAGAGTAAATGCTTCTAAGAGTTTTCAAATTTACATAAATAAGATTGCTTATTTATTTATGTATTAGATTGTTTAGATCTATTTATATAATTTCTAATTTATTTATAGTTGACTGCTGAGATTTATTTATTTAAAACTTATTTTAAATAAATTTAATATTATTTACAATATATTTTAACATTGGTATAAAATAGAAATTTGACTTTGCTTTTCTCAAGTTTTCTTCAAGAAAATATTTCCAAAATATTCACTCAATAAGTATTTCATCTCCTGGGGCTGGAGCTACAGTACAGTGGGTAGGGCACTTGGCTTATACACAGTCAACTCTTTCAAACCTTGGCACCCCATGTGGTCCCCTCAGCCCTCCAGGAGTGATCCCTGATTGTAGCTCCAGAAGTAAGCACTGAACATTCCTGAGTGTGACCCCAAAACTTAAAAAAAAAACAACCAAAAACAATTTGCTCCCAACACGAATATCATTTTTCCATGTATATGTGAAACAGTTTGGAACTCCCTTTTCTTTTCCTTTATACATGCTAGAACATGGAGACATTCTATTTAGTAAGACGAGCTAGACAGAGAAGAATAAATATTGTATCATTCTGCTTATATGAGGTAGTGCAAATAGACAAATTCATGGGGATAAAAATAGAAAATTAGAGGCTTAGATGAGGAGTCTTGTATGGAGTATGGAGTCTTGCTGAAAATTTAAAAAATCATTTTGGGCATAGATGTAGTGATATGTCTACAACACTGTGAATGTATTTAATGCCAATGAACTGTATACTTACCAGTAATTAAAGTGATAAATCATTGTTATGTTTATTTTATCATGATAATGTGAAGAAAACACATCTTTTGGCATAAATGAACCTTTTTAAATAATCATATTTGGTAAAGGAGACTATGTGTCTGAGATTAATTTGATTCTATTTGGTTTGCAGGCTGCTGGCTCTCAAATCGGGATAATGGTCAATTCCTTGACTAACATCATTGTGGCCATGGTCATTGCCTTCTCCTTCAGCTGGAAGCTTAGTCTAGTCATAATGTGCTTCTTCCCCTTCTTGGCTTTATCAGGAATTGCACAAACCAAAATGTTGACAGGATTTGCTTCTCAAGACAAGCAGGCTCTGGAGGTTGCAGGACAGGTAATCGTACAGACCCGATTTTTAGAATGCTTGTGATGGCGCAGTCAATAAGCAGTTTAAAGAGTCTAAAGAAATCTGTTAGTGTGAGACGGATACCCAAGGACAGTGGAAACAAGGGCCAGGAGGAATAGTTGGTCCATGATTGGAAGCTTGCAACAAGTGGTGGTGGTGGGTTGGGAGTGCAGCTAGGATAGAGAAGGGACCACTGTGCCAAAATTGATTGGAAATGATCACTCTGGACCAGAACTGATTGCTGGTAGACAATGGGACAAACATGATAACCTTTCAGCATTGGTGTTGCAAACCATAAGGCCCAAAAGGAGAGAAGAACAGAGAGAGAGAGAGAGAGAAAGAGAGAGAGAAAAACAGAGACCAGAGACAGAGAGACAGAGACAGAGGGAGAGACAGAGACAGAGAGGAGGGGGGAGAGAGAGAAAGTACGAGAGAGCAGAAAAGTGCCTGCCATAGTATTGGGAAGGAGGACAGGAGGGAAACTGGGAATGTTGGTGGTGGGAAGCTACACTGGTGAAGAGACAGGTAATGCGAACATTGTGTGACTGAAACCCAGTCATGAAAAACTTTTTAACTGTGTATCTCCTGGTGATTTAATGGAAGGAAGAAAGGAAGGAAGGGAGGGAGGGAGGGAGGGAGGGAGGGAGGGAGGGAAATAAAGAAAAAGAAGGAAAGAAAGAAAGAAAGAAAGAAAGAAAGAAAGAAAGAAAGAAAGAAAGAAAGAAAGAAAGAAAGAAAGAAAGAAAAAGTTGTTACCTTGCAAATGCTTGCTGTTAAAAATCTCCCACTGGCTCTTTCCTGTGTATCTCTGCCCAAAGGCTGTTAATAAAGCTCTGTTAGTAGAGTTGCAACAGACTGTGGGAGAACAAGCAAAAACAGGGTGGCCTGTTGTGTCTTTTCCTTTCTCCTAGCTATTTTCCACATTTTAACTTGGTGTATTTTCATTCACAAGAGAAGACAGTTCCAGTTTCTGTCCTATTTCTTCAGCTCAATGGCTTGTCCAGGTCAGACTGCCAACACAGAAAAGAACTAGCATCTTCTAAAGGCAAAAACTTTAGCTTTTATACTTCAGTAGTTTCTATATTGAACAGTTTATTCACTGAGTACCCATAAGATACAGTTTAGTCTCAAATACCCCAGGTTTAGACACCCACATTTCCCCAAGTGTGTCCTAATTATTATCTGATAGTCAGAGTTAGTAAATGAAGAAGGGAATGGTAGATTAGGCACCTATCTGGGATAAGAAGTCACTCACATGCTCATAGAGAAAAGACTCTTTAAAGCAATTTACTGTAATCTAGATTTTGTCTCTTTTAAGAGAGAGAAATAGCATACTGCCCAAGGGAGTAGATCTCAAGAGGATTTTATATGTAGAAATCTATTTATCTTTGTGCATTTTCCCGGGTAGGACCCTAATAAGAAGTTATTGTTCACTTTAGAGTCTGAATTGAAACAAATGCTAATTCATAGTACACTTAATTTATCTTAGGTAATGCTTTGTCAAGATAATTTTTTGTTAATACTGCCACTGCTGGAAATATTCAGGGATTATCAATGTTGCACCTGGCAGTGCTGGGACATGAGGTGTCAAGGATGGAATTCAGGGCTTCTCATATACAAACCATATACTCTGCTATTTGAGTTACAATCATGTTTCTGGGGGTTTCCTTCAGTTTGTTAACAAAAAAACTTATTATGTCATAGTAAAGTCTAGCACTTCATATGTGTGATCTTATGCTTTCTTGACAGATGCTTTTGGTGTAGGTACATTCTGGGCAGGAGTTTTTGAAAACTTTTGGAAACTTTTGAGCTTTCAGAGACTCTTCTGTATCTTACATGCAGCTTTCTGGGCAAGAACCTTCTGGCCTACAGGGGACAGATTTTTTCTCTGGAATCTTTGCAGCAGCTAACTAACATCTGACTGACATGACTGCTAACATCTACAGTTAGTACCTAGCCTCCCAGCATGATGTGATGTAGACCACCTGGTCAACCTTCATAGGCATCTAGATAGTTCTGTGGCACTATTAGGCAAGAAGCGCTATGTAAATTTGGTTAAAGAAAATTAAACTTAACATTTTAATACATATTATTAGTATTTCATTTCAAAAGACATCTAACCATGTCATCTTAGGCATTTCAAATAAATGAACAAAAAGCCACAGTTTTCAAAGATAGTCCTATGTAACTTTCTCCTCAACTTCTCACTTCTTTTCTTCAACAGCAGAGGCAACAAAATTGTGTCAGCACAAATCAGAGCTTGAATTTAACTGTTTCATGGTCCAGTGAAGGTGGTCTCCAGAAAGTTTTTGTATTCCTAGATGATGTTCCCATCTAATGTATATTGAATTCTGCCACTGGCACCAGAGCTAATCCATGCAGCAGTTGAAATTTCTGCTTTATTCCTAAAACTGTTTTTCATTTTTCAGATTACAAATGAAGCCCTCAGTAATATCCGCACAGTTGCTGGAGTTGGAAAGGAGAAGCATTTTATTGAAGCATTTGAAAGAGAATTGGAGAAGCCATTCAAGACAGCCATTCGGAAAGCAAATATTTATGGATTCTGCTTTGGTTTTTCCCAGAGCATAGTGTTTGTTGCAAATTCTGCTTCCTATAGATATGGGGGATACTTAATTCTCAGTGAGGGGCTCCATTTCAGCTACGTGTTCAGGTGAGGACTACTCAATCAAGGTCATAAAACTTCAGCACTCTAGGGGAGGGTGTTATAGCCTGAACCCATCAATTAACTTTTTTAAAATGTAGGAGTACTTCTATTTATTCAGACATTGATTAAGCTGATTGACTTGGGCATTGCTTTTTTAAATTTTTTATTGAATGCCCATGAGATAGACCATTACACAATAGTTCATAATTAAGTTTCAATCATACAATGATCCAGCACCCATCCCTCTACCATTGTACATTTCCCACCACCAATGTACTCTGTTTCCCTACCATCATCTATCCAACAACTAGCACTCCCCCAGACCCCACCACCAGCCTCCCTCTATGGAAGGCAGTTTCCTTCTTGTTTTCTCTGTCTTTCACCTTTTGTGCATTATGGTTTGCAATACAGATGCAAAGAGGTCATGGTATTTGTTCAGGTCATTCAGTATTTTTATCGGACAGTAAAGCTGGAGTAGTTTTTCAAGTGGGTGGAAGCTTTGGGGTGTGGATGTGACTCCCGAGTCTTCTGGACCAACCTGGAGAAAGTCTGGAGATTTCAGTCATAAAACCCATATACCTGAATTCTCAGCAGATTATATCTTAGTGAGGTCTGTCCTGAAATGGTGGAGTCAGACCGGGAGTATGGTGGCAATTTTGGATTGTGGAAACCAGTGGTTGCCAGGGGCTCTGCTTGGGTGGGCACCAGGCCAACCTGCCTGACCCTCCGATTTACCACAGTCTGTTCAGCCATGAACAAGTCTGAGATTAACTGTGGCTTTTGATCTTTTTTTGAGATTTGTTTATGGGTCTTTGAGATAAGGCCCATAAATGAGCTTGTATAGCTGAGCCAGATGTGGTCTTTGGTCATGGCTCCCACATACCTAAGTTTTGGCTGATTAATTTCTTGGTAAACTTGGGCTCAAGTTGTTGCGGGTCAGCCAAAGGCACAGCAACAATTTGAGGCTATCCGGAATCCTAAAGGCACCATGCAGTCACCCCACAGGTACAGGTTGACCTGCTGGTGGCACCATACACCCGTCAATTAACTTTTGCAGTTAAAAAAACTACACAAAGTGTGGTAGTTTAAACTGCAGGGGGGTTATTATTGCTCAGAATCCTGTGGGTTTTGCATGTGGTTCTTCTGCAGTGAATCCACTCAATCAGCCTTTGAAGTGGGTCCTTGTCTCCATGCAGCTGTTAGAATAGCAGAACAACTGAACTTTTTTTTTTAAAACATAATACTTTCAGAGTTTCAATGCATTGAAAAGGATATGTCTTAATATCCAAAGTACTTTTAAAATATCTTTATATGTTAATTTTTAATATTTATTTGGTCAAAGAAAGTCATACAACCAAGCCCATATTTGTCTAAAACTGTGTTTTTCAGAGTCCTTGCTTTCTTGGGATTTTGATAACCTCAAGGAAGTCTGGCTTGGGGTCTTAAGGTCACTTAGTTTTTTTTTTCAGATAAACAAAACATTCCTTTTTGTTTGTTTGTTTTCTGGTATCTTCTTGTGTGTGTGGCAGGGAGGAATACTCCAAATTTCTGTCCGGGTAGCCCCAGGGTAACACTTGGCAGTACTCACCAATCAGACCTGATAGTTCAAAACTATAGTATCAAGGAGGTGGGGTTGCTAAGTCCCATGGTTCCAGGACTTCCAGGGCTATAGTGCTTAGGGGTCACCAGGTCCAACCTAATAATGCTCTGAGGACCATACAGTGCCAAGGATCAGAGAAGTGTCCTTGATCCCTGAACAAACTTCCTACCTACTGTCCTCATTCCTTATGCAATTCTTCACATTACCACTCCTCTAATACTTGACGCTCTAAACACTTAGGAAATTACAAGCATATTTATAGCTCTGTGCCAGGAAAGGGGCAAAAACCAAACGAATTGCCCATTATGAATGACATATCACCAAGAATGTTATATTGGAGAGGGGTATATTCAGAATAATAATTGATTAACCATTTTTATAATCGATTACACTGGCCAATCCTGAGCACATCTAAGTGCCTTGAATAAGATATAGAATTCATTTGTTGGATTCAGACTTGTTGAAGAATGTTTTTTGCCTACATGTAAAATTTGGGAGACTACAGACAGCTCCAGTTTCTGGTTCCTTTTTAAAAGGCAAAGATCGCATTCTACTATTCTCCTTTTATTCAAAGTGCTTGTCAATCATTTAAGCTTTAAATTGGGCTCCTGGGGATGTTTTGGCTTGTAAGTCTGGACTAAAATAAGTTCTACTTATAAAGTGAGCAATGAAACACATAGACACCCCCTCCCATCGTCATCAAAACAGTCTTCCACGATTGCTGGACAGGTCACAATCCACCACCTATATAGTACCAAGGTTCTCTCATACACTGTCTCATTATGTATTTATTTACTCTTTTGTTCATTAATTACACACATATCAAATAGAGGTTGGACAAGTAGAAGTATGTAAACAATATTATTTCATGTACTCTGAAGCATGGGCTGGAGCAATAGCACAGTGGGTAGGGCATTTGCCTTGCACCCAGCCATCCCAGGTTTGATTCCTCCGCCCCTCTCAAAGAGCCCAGCAAGCTACTGAGAGTATCACACCCACATGACAAAGCCTGGCAAGCTCCCGTGACGTATTCAATATGCCAAAAACAGTAACAATAAGTCTCATAATGGAGACATTACTGTTGCCTGCTCTAGCAAATCGATAAACAATGGGAGGACAGTTCTACAGTGCAGTGCTACTCTGAAGCATAAATAACATGCATTGGTACAGAATTGATGTTTATGTCATCAATTATTATCTTTCATGCTTTCAGATTCTAAGAAAAAAATTTACACTGGAAAAAATCAACCCATAAAAAGCAAAATAAAATTTTAATTTAAAAATTAACCAATTTAATCATCATTCAGGGCCCCTTCCTTTTAGAAGGCAGGGGAGGAGTGGGTCAAACCCAAAAAAACAGTGCTTTGGGCTTACTCATGACTCTGTTTCTGGGAATCATAGACAGTACTGGGTATCAAACCAGGGTTAGCTTGCAAGGCAAGAACCTAAATTCCCAGACTGTCTCACCCGCTTCCTATAGCAATTTTTTTTTTAAAGAGAGGGGCTATTGTAGTTGAAGCAGGATTTGGAGATCAGTCTCCCTCAGCCTCGCCTGCTTTCCACTAATCACCCCTTTTTCATAAAGAACAATTAGAAAACTGCTAATCTCTCTAACTCTCACTTTTCCTGCCAATTCTAAACTGACCTATTCAAGGTTCCTCAGTTCTTTCCTAGCTAGACTCTCAACTCCTGCCTCTTAGGCCATCACACCACTATTACCAGATGTTTTTCTTTCTAATTGCAGGGTGATCTCATCAGTTGTACTAAGTGCCACAGCTATTGGAAGAGCCTCCTCTTACACCCCGAGTTATGCCAAAGCCAAAATTGCGGCTGCACGTTTTTTTCAATTGCTAGACAGACGCCCCCCAGTAAATGTGTATAGCAGTGCAGGTGAAAAATGGGTAAGTACTGTCGTGGGGGTAAAAAGGCAGTAGGTGAGGTGTGTGTTGTGTATGTGTGTGTGTGTGTGTGTGACTGAATATACAATACTTTGTAGATTCTAAATTTCTATGAATTTATAGACCTTACAAATACTAATACTAATGTAAAAAGACATAAATAATTAACATTAAAATTACTTATAAAAATAATAGTTGATTTAGAAATAATATCAAGTGAATGTTAAATTCTGTGTAATACCAAGCACACTTGGTACGGAATGAATAAAGCTAGAGATCTCTTTGAGATTCAGTTATCATTCCATCTATTGAAAAAACAGTTGCTCCTGTTCAACAAAATTTATTTAATCTATGTTTATCTAAGTTCAAGTTTTAGCTCATGTGTACAGAAAGATCAAATTAATCTTAAGATACAATTTTTTCAAATTGGCAATTCCCATACGTGTTTTTTTGTCTTTGTCTATTAAAAAATTTTAGTATGCTTATATAGACCAAACATGATTGTCACCCATTGCCTCTTTTGCAAACCACAACACCCAATAAGAGAGAGAGAACAAAAGGGAATGCCCTGCCACAGAGGCAGGGTGGGATGGGGGGATGGAGGATGGGAGGGATACTGGGATCTATGGTGGTGGGAAATGGGCACTGGTGGAGGGATGGGTATTTCATCATTGTATAATTGAAACCCAAGCACAAAAATTTGTAAGTCTACAACTGTACCTCATGATGTCTCACTAATAAAAATAAAAAAATTAGTATGCTCAAGAGAGCACAAAAACCTAAATCCTCATAAAGCTAAACTAAAGTCAGGAATATTTTTAAATTTATTGAATTACTTGTTTATGCTTGGCTCAATAAGCATAAAGTCTCTGCATATTGTCTGTTGAATGTCTATTTATTTATAGAATTCATAATTCACAAAGTACAACTGAATTCCTCTTTAAAACTCGGGACTCACAGAAGTTTCTTAAAGTAATTTCAGTGCAGTATGATAACTTCAAATGATAGAACTCTTTCTGGAGAGAGCTATAAAGAGTTGGAGGTGACTGGCTTTTAGAATATAATCTTAATAATCTTAATTTTTAGATATTCTCTTCCATTCAATTTGATAAAGAATAGATGACAAATTCCCACGGGTTAGAATGGAAATAAGAGATTTAATGACTTTCAATTCACTTGCTAGAATGCAGAACAGAATAACAACTAATTAATTTGTTGTCCCTGTACTTGGCACTTTGGCAGCGTAACTTTGAAGATATCTTAAGCATGGATTCAAAATTTTAGATACAGATGTACATTCATTAGTGTAGATCCCAGTAGGAGTACAAATACATAATTCCATTCTTTCTCTCCACAGGACAACTTTCAAGGGAAGATTGACTTTATTGACTGTAAATTTACGTATCCTACTCGACCTGATATACGAGTTCTGAATGGTCTCTCAGTGTCAGTTAGTCCAGGGCAAACACTGGCATTTGTTGGAAGCAGTGGATGTGGCAAAAGTACCAGCATTCAATTATTGGAACGTTTCTATGATCCTGATCAAGGGAAGGTGGTAAGCAGTACAAATGCTTTATTTATGTATTTAATTAATTAATTGAATCACCATGGGGATACACAGCTACAAAGCTGCTCACAAGAGGGTTTCAGTCATACAATGTTCCAACACCCTCCACCAGTGACAGCACAAATGCTTTGAAGAAGATTGATTTCTGCAGACTATCTCCAACCCCTAAAAATAATCTTCATGACTGTACCCTGTCAGGGCCAGAGTCATCGTACAGAGGTTCAAGTGTTTGCATTACATCTTGCTGACCCCAATTCATATCCCTGATACTAGTTATGGATTCCTGCACACCATTAGGAGTCACCCCTGAGCACAGTGCCAGAAACACATCCTGAACACCGCTGAAGGTGGTGACAGAGTACCCAACATCCTCCACCCCACAAAAGAAATGATCATACCTTACCAGATTCACTTCAAAGTGCTTGCCTTGGATGCTTACCCCAGTGGATGATTTTCAGTTCCAGTCATTTGCCAGCTGACCTGACTCTACCTCCGATTTCTAACATTAAATTCTTCCTGGGACCAGATGGCCTGCTGACCAGTTAGGTAAAAAAAAATTGACACACTGCAAAGTGAGAGATGAATATATTTAACAGAAGCATTTACTCGACTGCAAATGGATCAGAAAACACTAATCAGGAAACTAATGGCTGAGAATGAAAAGTGGGGTGATAGGAAACAAACATAATGACAAATGAGCAAGATGGGGGCTGGTATGGAAAATCTGACACCATCTTAGTTCAGTTCAAATAATATAAGTTTAAGTCTAAATAATGTAAGAAACTCAATTTGTTATATGCTGTGAGCTGTGGCAAGAGTATTGGAAAAAGAGGTGAGTTGCTTGAACTTATTTTCCACAGCATTTCTTTCTCCTTTTTTTCTTTTCTTTTTATTCCTTTTAAAAAGGTATAGACAGAGGTTTGCACAATACATTAAGAACAATTTTTAATAGAGAACAGCCCTGGGTTCCACCAGTCTGGAACCTCTAATGCTCCAAGGGAGCTAGACTTAAATATATGAGGTTTTCAGATCTTACAATGATTGCATCTATAAATTTATATATATATATTATATATATACAACACACAGTTATTTCATGATTTAGCAATGTTAGCCCTTTTTTGCTATATGTTTGTGGTTTTCTGGGATTATACCTGGCTTTGAACTCAGGGATCACTCCTGGCAGAATTTGGGGGACTGTATGGGGTTCTGGGGATCAAACCCTATCCTATCATGCAAGGAAAATGTCCGACCCACTGTACTATTACTCCTGTCTCCAATTTTACACTCGTGATTTATTATCAATGCATGGGCAATTTAGTTTTTCCTAATGCACGCCCTCCTTTTATCGATTTCATACCAATATAGATACATTGCTAAAGGAGTTTCTCTCTGTATCACTGTCACTGTCTTCCAGTTGTTCATCAATTTGCTTGAGTAAGCCCAGTAACATTGTGAGACTTGTTACTGTGTTTGGCATATCCAATACATCATGGGTAGATTGCCAGGCTTTGCCGTGTGGGCGAGATACTGTTGGTAGCTTGCTGGGCTCTCTGAGAGGAGCGGAGGAAACAAACTCGTGTTGGCCCTGTCAGCCAGAAGCAAGTCAAACACCCTACCCACTGTGCTATTGCTCCAGACCTCTCTCTATATAAATTTAACTAATAGATTTGTTTCTGTTCCCCCCACTATAGAAAACGTCACTTGAATTCTCATTCTTCAAAGAGAGTTTTAGCAATTGTAACTTAATTTTCAGTATTTCCTTTCACTGCTCAAGTTCTAAGAACTATAATATTATCAAGAATGAATACTAGTTACTCCCTACATATAACACTTACTATCTTTCAACTTTCATTCTAGACCAATTTTTTTTCTAGACCAATTTTAAACGTTGGAAATTAGTTCTTATTGCTATCATCCCATAGTTATAAGGAATTCATTCCTTTGGCTTTGCATTTCTTTTGTTCATTGCTCTTCTGAAACATTCTCTCTTTTCTTGTGCTTCCTGCCTTTTGTCCTTTCAATTTCTTTATCCTGCAAGCTACTCTGAAACCTGATTTTATTTTCCCTTCAACTACTTCTTTTTTTTAATTATTGACTCACCATGAGATAGAGTTACAGGCTTTCATGATTGAGTTTCAGTCACAACCATCAAATATTCCTCCAACAGTGCGCATTTTCTACCACCAATGCCCCCAGTATCCCTCCTACCACCCCACCTCATCCCACCCCTTCCTCCGTGGCAGGCACCTTCATTCTCTCTCTCTCTCTCTCTCTCTCTCTCTCTCTCTCTCTCTCTCTCTCTCTCCTTTTGGGAATCATAGTTTGCAATACAGGTACCGAGAGGACATTGTTTTTGGTCCTTAGCACACATCTCCCATCCCGAGCAATCCCTCAACCATCACTGACTTAGTGGTCCCTTCTCCATCCAACTGCCTTCTCCCTCAGCACATGATGCAGGCGTCCAAACTGTGGAGTGATCCTCCTTGACCTCAGGTGTTAGTCTCATGTTATTTTATATTTCACAAATAAATCATTTTATATCTCTCCCTCTGTTTCCGAATCATTTCACTTAGCATAATATTCTCCATGTCCATCCACCTATAAGCAAATTCCATAACTTATTCTTTTGTAATAGCTGCATAGTATTCCACTGTGTAGATGTATCACAATTTCTTTAAACAATCATCTGTTCTTGGGCACTGGGGTTGTTTCCAGATTCTGGCTATTGTGAATAGTGCTGCAATAAACATACAACTGCAGATGTCATTTTGACTGTATTTTTTTTGCATCCACAAGATATATTCCCAGAAGTGGTATTGCTGGGTCACATGGAAGCTCAATTTCTAATTTTTGGAGGAATGTCCATATTGTTTTCCAAAAAAGGTTGGAGTAGTCAGCATTTCCACCAACCACAGATGAGAATCCCTTTCTCTCCACATCTGTGTCAGCACTGGTTGATCTTGTTCTTTTTGAAGTGTGCAAATTTCTGTGGTATAAGATGATATCTCATTGTTGTTTTGATTTACATGTCCCTGATGATTAGCAATGTAGAGCATTTTTAATATGCCTGTTGGCCATTTGTATTTCTTTTTTGAGGAATTTTCTGTTCATTTCTTCTCCCCACTTTTTCATGTGTTGAAAGTTTTTTTTCTTGTAAAGTTCTACCAGTGTCTTGTATATCCAGGATATTAACACCCTATCTGATGGATATTGGGTAAATAATTTTTCCCATTTCTTGGGCTTTCTTTGTATTTTGGCCACTGTTTCTTTTGAGGTATAGAAGCTTACTAGTTTAATGTAGTCCCATTTGTTTGTCTTTGCTTCCACTTGCTTGGTCAGTGGTGTTTTATTCTTGAGGATGCCTTTGTCTTCAATATCATGGAGGGTTCTGCCTAGATTTTCCTCCATATACCTTATGGATTCAGGTCTGATATTTAGGTCTTTAATCCACTCCTCTCTGACTTTTGTACCTGGCATAAGATAGAGGTCTGCATTCATTTTTTTACATGTAGCTGTCCATTTTCCCAGCACCACTTGTTGAAAAGGCTTTCCTTGTTCCATTTCAGATTTCTTGATCTTTTATCAAAGATTAAATGACCATATATGTGAGAATCTATGTCAATATTCAGTTCTTTCCTTTTGATAGCACACCGGTAGGGCATTTGCCTTGTACGCAGCTGGCCTGGCCGAGTCAGGTTCAATTCCTCCGCTCCTCTGGGAGAGCCCAGCAAGCTACCGAGAGTATTTCACCTGCACAGCAAATCCTGGCAAGCTACCTGTGATATATTCAATATGCCAAACACAGTAACAAGTCTCACGTTGGAGATGTTACTGGGCCCGCTCGAGCAAATCGATGAACAACGGGAGTACCGTGACCATGACCTTTTGGTCTGCGGTTCTGTTTCTAGTCCAGTACCCTGCTGTTTTAATTACCACGAATTTGTAGTATAGTTTGACATTAGGGAAGGTGATGCCACCCATCTTCTTTTCCCCAAGGATTGCTTTAGCTATTTGTGGGAGTTTACTGTTCCATATGAATTTCAGAAGTGTTTTGTCTATTTCTTTTAACAATGTCCTGGGTACCTTTGTAAGGACTGCATTGAATATGCATGCATGCTGACTAATTATTACCCTATGAGTTTTTTGCGATTTTTTTTATTAGATGAATTATTTTGTAGTTCTCTTTCTTATTTTTCACTGTGATTTGATTAGATGATTGGAGTACCTATGCAAATTGTTTTCTAATAAACAGTTCAAAGGTATATATGCTGAATGTTTCATTCTGTTCCACACTTGACAGATGGTTTAATCCTAATATTTAAAAAAACTACTGTATGATTTACGTGAACAGTATGTTTCTTTATTGCAAAGAAAATAGCTAACAATATTAAGATAAAATTGAAAATTTAAAGAGGCAACTAAAGATTCCCTTGCATAAAGTGAAACAAGGAAGCAAGTGAGCAAATACTGATAGAACCTAGAAAATTTAGACAATGAGGAGTGGCTAGCTATCATTACTTCTGTTATTGATTTTAAGTGTATTTTATTTTATTTGATGAATGAATACCTTAGAAATCACATTGCTCTGGGAAGTTTTATCTCTATAAAGCTGAAGGTCTAGTTTCACAAAAACCACCTATCCTGTCTAGCACCATGATTAATATTGAGCTACATAACATGCTAGAAACTGAATCTTTCATGTGTGGCCTTCCCAACATTAACACACATATATTTTTTAATTTAACAGTAATCAACGCATATTTTAAGTATATTTCTCTGTTAGTTAATGTTTTAGGCACAAGTAGGCAGCCATATACTCTTGAATAAATCAATGTGATTTCTCGCATTTCATAGTAACAAAGTAGTTGTTACATAGTAACATAGTACATTTCATAGTAACAAATCATTTTGTTACATTCCTATAAAACAGTTCTAATATTTTTTAAAGCAAGAAAAAAGATCACTTTTTTAACAATTTTTTTTTAAATCCTCTTTGCTCTTAATGAAGTTACCCACTACAAACGTTTAACATTTTCAACAGGTTCATTTGGTACGATGTACTCAGTACATCTGAACTGAATTAAGACTGGTGAAAGATTCTAAAGAGCATTAAGTATGTCATCTATCTTCTAGTAACTTATAATACTAATGCATATTCAAGTACACATTAAATTGCACTATGGAAAAATGAATTAAGATGAATGAGAACTAATTGTTGAGAAATCCTTTTTTCCATAATAGGTTGCTTTTTATGTTGCTGAAAAAGGACCTAAAATATATTCATACTATTTGGCATAATTTTTTGAAATCACAGAATCAAATATTTTAGTAGAATATTAGAATACTATGCCTTTACTATTCTAGAACTCTTGTGAAACACCTCAAATGGCAGAATTTGTTGTCCCGTACTTAATTGCTTTACTAGACCATGAGCTTTTAAAAACATAAATATTGTTTTTCATATAGTAGACATAAAAGGCTGTCCAACATGTCTTTATGTCAGATGTTCTTGTGGCAGTACATGTTTTGTTGATTGATAAAGTAAACAAATGTATTCCTTTCTGCTTATCTTACTCAGAAGTTACAACAATAAAATCAAGAAAATGGGATTAGTTTTTACATTGTCCAATAACTTCACATAAAAAATTTGTTTTCAGATCTACAGAATATCCAAATGAAGAGTTCAGCATATTTGTGTAGAGTATGATGAAGAGAATATAAAGGGGTGCTTATTGAAATTAGTTACTTTCCTGAGTGATTTACTTGTATGTTTTACCCAGAACTAGCATTTTGGAAACAAACAAAACCACAATCAGATCATAATAACTTTGATGCAACTCCTTTACATTCATTATTTATTTCTAAGACCCTATAATTGTCTATTATGCAAAACATGTGTCTTACATTAATACAAACAGTAGGATTTGAACTTCTTGCTTGCTAGAAATGTAAATCTTCATGCCCTGTATTTTGACAGATGATTGATGGACATGATAGCAAAAGAGTTAATGTCCAGTTTCTTCGCTCAAATATTGGGATTGTCTCCCAGGAACCAGTGTTGTTTGCCTGTAGCATAATGGACAATATCAAGTATGGAGACAACACTAAAGAAATTTCTAGGGAAAGAGTCATAGAAGCTTCAAAACAGGCACAGCTGCATGACTTTGTCATGTCACTCCCAGAGGTAAGTACCAAGTTAGAGATTTCCCCATGTGATTCAGGGATGGGACAAATCAAATAACCAAAAAAGTATTATGATTATGACGCAAGAAAATTAAGGATGCAGTGACAAAGGAATTTAACTGTTTTTGGGAATGTTATCTGGTTCAGTTTCTGAAAAACAGTGTGAAGATTCCTCAGAAAACTAAGAATAAAGCTTCCATTTGACCCAGTCATTCCACTTCTTGGCATCTTCTTATCCCCAAAACACAAAAGCATCAAATTTTAAAGATATATGCATTCTATGTTTTTTGTAGAACAGTGGCTAGGATATGGAAATAATCAAAATGTCCAGTGGATAAAATGGCCAAACAAATGGATAAAGAAGTTGTCGTGCATATACATAATGGAATACTGTAAAATCTTAGCACGCCGAAGGTTGTGTGTTCGTGGGCTCTCTGGATGGCTCTATCTCACCGCCCACGTTCAGTGCTCTTGAACAGCTCTGTGTGCCTTGGATCAGGACAGCTGTTGGCCAAGAGCCGATGAAGGAAGAAACAAGGGCCAGGCTGGTCGATATCAATTGTAGTTTATTCCAATCCTCTCCACTCCTGTCTCTCCTCTGCCTCCTTCTCACCTGGGCCCCAGTCTGGAACCTTTCTCCTTTTGGCTCTGATTCTGGATCTCTGGAGCCCGAGCTTTCTCACTTTTAACTCTGCTCTCTAAGCTTACAGTCTTAGTTTATATAGCAATCACGTAAGGTGGTGACACAAAAGTGGGTTGAACATTAACAAATCAACAAAGAGAGATAAGACCACTTCTAGAGGAGATTAACTCAAGAATAAAATCTTATCTAAAGAGATTACTCCAGATTACTAGGCGACCACTCAAGGGTGGGATTCCAACGAGAGTGTGTTCTTTCCTCAGCTAGTAATCTACTTAAATAGTTGTAGTAAATCTACTTCTAATATTTCTAGCAATGTCATTCTGTGTGAGCACAGTAGGAGATATAAACATCTCACTATACATTCCTCAGTCCTTAGGCCAGGTTAGTCTTCCTAGCCCCAGCAGAGTCCTAGTTTTGTTTTTACTTTCAGATCATGACAGCATTTGCCCATGACCATACCCTCAACTTATAGTTGAGTATCGTGGTGCTTTGGCCTGGCCCATTTTGATGCCAGGGTAGCTCACAGCTTGTCCTGGGTCCATTCAGTCCCTTGTCGGGACCCTGCTTTTGGGTGCTAGAAAATAAGGGAAACTGAGTCAAGAAAGCAGATGCCCAGGAGTAAATATTATTTTGAGTTAATCAACTCCCAAGTTACAAAGCATAATATTAACTGTTTTTCTGTGTCCATACAGAAAGGACATTGCTTTAAGGTGAACTATTCAAAAGACATAAGAAGAGGAGAAAGGCAATATTAACTTATAATACAAGTTCAGTGCCCTGGGATAGGTGTGACCCGATAAACGTAAGCTACCTGAGGAAGGACAAAACAGTGTTATCCTACAGAATACTATGCAGCTATAAGAAAACTTGCATTCACTGAAATGTAGATTGAACTGAAAGTTGTCATGTTAAGCAAAACAATTCAGAGACAGAAGGACAAATAATAATTTCACTCATGCTTGATTCATAGAGATAAAAGAAGAGAATAGATAATAGTGAACGATGTCAGACCCTTGTCCTTGGATTATAAAATTTAGGTTACCAAGCAATGAAGGGAGGGATGGGATGGAATAAAAAGACTAACTAAAGGTGAAAAGAGACATTAGTGAAGAATGTTGTGCATTTTGTTGATGGAATGTGTAGTTACTTTGTACAGCAACACCATAAATTTTAACAATATTGTAATCATACTATATCACCATCATGATCACAATCATCCTGTTGTTTGT